ACAGTATTTAATATACAGATTTAACAAGTTTTAAATAGCAATATCCAGAAAATGTTACAAAAAGATAGTGCTATTGTTGATTCAGTATCATCACTACAATATACAAACACTAAATTTCTTTTATCAATAAACATTAAATTGATTGATCATACAAACAATATAGTAGTAGTGATAGATAATAAATAAAAAGAGAGAAAGAAGAAGGGATATAGCACGCAATGAAATAAATGAGGGAAGGGAGAGGCAGGAAGTTTAACCCAAAAGATTGGACGAAAGGCTGACACTTTTGTTTGCCTTTCTCACTTTGTTTTTCCCTCTTCGATTGATTAAATTATTTTTGTGCGTTTCCTTCGTTGGATGGGACATATTGGAATGAGACTTTTCCTTCCTACCTTCCCTCCACTGCCATTTCTATAATTAATATCACTCGTACCAACATTCTTTCTGTTCCTAATTAATTACTTTTTTTTGGACTAAAGACAATTAGATTTTAATCATTCTATGCGTTTAGAAGAAGGTACTACAGTAGTTTAGTTTCTTTCTCAACAAACCATCCCTAACCATTGCATTACTTAATAGTTAATACTATGCTACCTGACGATATAATTAAGGCCAAGACCTTGAGGTATACACGAATTTACAAAATTTTCATTATACTCTTTGAGTTAGTTTGAGTTGAGAGATAATATCTTTGTGGTTGAAGATCATAGCGAGCGGTGGAAATAGTAAATAAAGAAACGTAGAAAGCTTCTTTTTTTTTTACAGTTTCACTGCAGTTGCATCGCACGCGACAGGCACATGCACGTCTAGATCCTTGTCAGCTCCACTCTCAAGTCTGTGATATCAATATGTCCCTAATCTATTTTGGCTATTTGCATACCATATCATTTTCCGACAAATTATTTGATTTTTTGTTTTGTTTTTTTATAACGGATCACGCTATTGTGTTTCTATCCATCTGTTTCCTACACGATAAGCTCATGCAATTCCTGTATATATGATTGAAGATCGTAGTGCAAATTAAAATATGATATTTTGTTTTCATCTAGGCCTAAACACAGTCCTTATCAGTACTCATACAACAGTAAATCATTTTTAAAACTCGTGATGATTGTTATTTACAAAAATTACCTTTATCATGTATATATATACTACTCATATTGTATTTTATCTATCAAAACACTAAGAGCATCTCCATTAATGTATTTTAAGAGAGTATTTTAAGAATAAAAAAAATAAAAAAAGGAGAAAAGAGGGAAAGAAAAACTAGATATGTTTCTTAGATATCTAAGATTTGTTATTTAAGAAACGATTTTAAAAAGTTTTTATACACTTGTCCATTTATTATTAGCTACTTCCTTCTTTATTTTAAATATTAATTTCCTGCTCATTTCGTTAGTTAAAAATCAAGATTACGTTACATACGATCAACGCCAGAATAATGTGAAAAAAAAAATAAACAAGGATTAATTAATTCAAAGTTGTTTAGAAGAAGAAGAATTCAAATATAAGGAATAAACATACATACATTTTCAATTCATGTACATATGAATAACAAATATTTGAAGTCAAATTAATAACTTGAATGAAATAATTAAAAGACCAAAAAAACATAAAATTATTCCGTTCGCTTCCAAACTGGTCTCAACAAAAGAAAAACCAAACTCTTTTTTTTTTGTTAAATAAAAGTGTTAAAAGAAAAATTAGGCTCCCGCATAAGGGTTAATCTTAGGTTTGTCCTTAACAAGACCACATTGAAGGCTTGACTCTGGCATGTTGTATTCGTCTCGAAGTGATTTTTCCGGCGACAAGACGCTCGCGTAAAGTTGTTGTCCCAAGTAACGTCTTTCGGAATTCTCCGACCTAATGTTCCACATTCCACAGTTGTCGAATGAGAGCAAGATTGCAGCCCAACATTTAGGGTAAACTTGGACGGTGTGTCGGCTCACTGCGTCCAAAAGATTGTAGTTCTTCCTCTTTTCTGGTGTCCATGTCCCTGGCTCAACCCTTTTGTGCGATAAAAGACATTGATTGAAATTAGGATTTGTAAATTGGGTTACTTGTGATGCACGGAAAAGAGAATGTAGTGTTACTTACGCTACAGCGAAGAAGGAGTAGCCATCCAAGTGCCAAGACTGGACACTCCTCTCATGGTTTTCGAACACGACTTCAATGAAGGTGCGGTGAGTGATGTTAAGAACATTGGGTTCGATCTTAATGTTTTTGATTTGATCCGGGGTAGGGTTGTCTGAGATGATGTTGTACTTGAATACCTTATCAGCAACGCCAAAGTACTCAGCAAGCTTCAAGGGGGTGTCGGGGTCTGTGTGTGAGACTCCGCTCAACGCGTATCTGAGCTTGCCGTCGATCTTAGCTTGAGTGTTCACGAATTTGATGGTGCGAGTGATGTTAATCTTTCCGTAGTGGTACGATCCTTGTGGGTTAGGTCTAGCTGCGCTGGCTGTCAAGTTCCACCTGAAAGAGCGGAACTGGTTCAAAGACCAAGCCCAACCAACAGGAGCTGCGGGTAGCTGAGAAGAGGCAGGACCTTTGCCTCCCTCGTAGCGGAGGAGCCCTGTGGTGGTCAAAGCGTTCTTTAAAAACCTTGTGGAAGCTACCATGTAGTAATCTTTAGGTTCTTGGTTTGCTGTGAGGATAACGCCAAAGCATTGACCGACATGGACGTCAAGCGAGTCATAATCGTTCTGGAGAACGTGTGAGCCTTCCATCTCAACAAGCTTCATTTTGTGGTTCTGGATTCTGAAGTTGAGAGATGCCTTGAGACCCACGTTACAGATCCTAACTCTGTAGGTTTTTCCTTGCTTCAAGGTGAAAAGAGGCTGGTCGGAACCATCACCTTTCCCAGCCTTACCGTTGATGAGAATGCCATCTGGACGGCCAATAGTACGGCCACTGTCGAGGAACTTCTTGAGCTGAGTGTGGCTTTTGGTGTACCAGTCGTTGATAAGGACGGTGTAGTCATCTTCAGGGTCAGCGTAAGGAACAGGGATTAGGAGACGACTGTTCACACGAAGGCCACCAAAGGCACCCGCGGCGCGATGCATGGCCGTAGTCGGGTAGTAGAAGTAGCTACCAATCTGATCCTTAGGCTGGAAATGGTATGTGAAGTTCTTACCCGGTGGGATAGGGCACATTGTTCCGGCCGTCCCATCTTGCCATGAGTTCTTTCTATGCTGGATTCCATTCCTATTTATAAATTTGCCGATTAAACCCAAATTATAAACTATTGGTAGCGTTTTTTTTTTTAGTGTTTTATGCTATTTTGAAGAATTTCAATCAAATTATTCATCTAACATCTGATTATTCTGTGATTTGATATATGAATAAAACGTACCAAGTAAGGAGGAAAGGCTCGTCGAGGTTGTTGAAGACATTAATGATGATGTTGTTGTTAGACGTTGAGTTGATGTTGGGACCGGGGAATTTACCGTTGATGAGAATGACTTGTTGTGGAATACCGAGAGGAGATGCGGTTCCGTACGTCACGTTCCACACGTGATGAAAGTAAGGGTCCTCCGCTTGGACCATCACGACGGTCGCCGTCGCAAGGCATAGGCACACGGCCAAGAGTTTAACCCCTCCCATCATCAAATAATAAAGTTTTATGATTTTATTTTTCTAGTGTTGGTAAGAAAATGTGGGGTTTTTTTTTTGTTTTTTTAGGGGTTTAGATTTCGATTTTTTTCCTTCAAATGTTAACTGGCGTTTTTATAGTTTAATAGAATTGTAAAGTTTCCTTATTTTTCTCATTTCTTTAGATCCTTTCATTACGCTCTCCCTGTCGTCCATATTAGGAATATTCAGTTTGACCTCTCGCTATTTTTGGTGTATCTTTTTTTTCTAGAATTTGTTTCCACCAGTTTCTTTGAGTATTTTGCTAATTGTGGAGTATATTTGATATACATGGTCTGGTAATGACTCATATGACTAAACTTTATTTCCATTATAAGTCTTTTTGGCCATGATTCAATGTCAAAACGTGTATGCAAAAATAAGATTACCAAACTCAATCATGATCAATTGTAGTTATACAAACTAATGAGCTATATATATTGACTAGTAACTATTTTGACGTGAGAAAAACCAAGAAGGGGACTTAGCAGAACATTCAGTGTGAAACAAGTAGATCGAGTGAACAAATGTCAAGTGTGGAACACACGGATCTGGTGGATTAAGCAGTGCAGATTCAAATTATGTAAAGGGAAAGTAAATCATTCAAGTTCTAAACCATCGACGGTTCCTTGTTCTTAGCTATTAAATCAGTTTTCGATACAAATTTTGCCAAGACTAATATATCTTATTGTAGAGATCTCTGTTTACCTTTTTAATGAACAAAACTCTATTTATCTAGCTTCGTTTAATAGTATATTCGTATTGAACTATTACAAAACGGTGCAACACAAACAAAACAAAATTTGAATAAGAATACTAATGATGCGAATAAAATAGTTGTCAAACTTTAATTAGTTTACTATTTTCTGGTGTCCAAAATAATGTTTTGAAATTTAATTATATGGATAATTAAATTAACTTATATCATTTAGAAAAAGAAGCAATTAATTATGAGATTTTCAACTTTTAAATTAAAAAAAGGAATTCAACCACCCAATTTTAGATGATGTGTTTGTGCTTCAAGTGCAGTTCACAAAACATGACAAGCACACAATCGCTACATAAAAATTACGCTATTGAGACAGAAAATACTCTCAGAATTAAGATACTCGGTCGTAGAATCTGAATACCACAAATCACTTTAACTCGGGTTAGTAATTTAAAGACAGTTCGTATCAAAATTAATCTAAAACAATTTATTTTGGTCACAATTTTGTCATGGCAACATTTATTCGGGCATTCATTTGACGTGTAAGCCAGTTATTGACATCGTTAGGGACATTTCCAATATTAGAAAACCAGAAACAGAAAGGGAGAGAGAGAACTCTGTTTGTTGCATCACAATATTCACATATAGAAAATCGAATTAGAGATGAAGCGTAAAATATGGTGACGGTACCTTGCGAAAGAAGTTATGTCTCCCTTGCATAAATACTTCGAATCACCCAAGTTACAAGAGGATTCATCAAGAGCAAAACTTGCTTTTGAGGGAATAAACAAAAAAAAAAAAGTAGTTTTCCTTTGTTTTATTATTTTTTATAGGAAAGGGTTAATTATACGTAACACAGAAAGTAAAATAAATCTCTTTTTCCTCTAGAAAAGGAGAGAAAAAAAAACTAAAAATAATATGGAGGGGAGGTTATTAACGGTGTTGGTCTGCCTCGCCTCTACGGTGGCGATAGTAAACGCCGGCGATCCTTACTTCTTCTACACATGGAACGTGACGTACGGAACCGCCTCACCTCTCGGTGTTCCTCAAAAGGTGATTCTCATCAACGGTCAGTTCCCTGGTCCTAACCTAAACTCAACCTCTAACAACAACGTCGTCATCAATGTCTTCAACAACCTCGACGAGCCTTTCCTCTTGACCTGGTAACATAATTAAACCATATATTATAATCCCCATTCTTTATTATACCCATTTTTGACATTACTATGTGATGATATGGATGCAGGAATGGGATTCAGCACAGGAAGAATTGCTGGCAAGATGGTGTGGCTGGGACTACATGTCCCATCCCAGCAGGACAGAACTTTACTTACCATTTCCAACCTAAGGACCAGATCGGTTCCTACTTCTATTACCCGACCACTTCTCTTCACCGCTTTGCTGGTGGTTTCGGTGGTCTCCGTGTCAACAGCCGTCTCCTTATTCCCGTTCCTTACGCCGACCCTGAGGATGATTACACCGTCCTTCTCGGTGACTGGTACACAAGTGGCCACACCGCTCTCAAGAAATTGCTTGACAGTGGACGCACCCTTGGACTGCCTAACGGTGTTTTGATCAACGGAAAGTCAGGGAAAGTGGGAGGAAAGAACGAGCCTTTGTTCACGATGAAGCCCGGAAAGACTTACAAGTACAGGCTCTGCAACGTTGGGTTCAAGTCTACTATTAACTTCAGGATCCAGAACCACAAGATGAAGCTTGTGGAGATGGAAGGCTCACATGTTCTTCAGAACGACTACGACTCGCTCGACGTCCACGTTGGCCAGTGTTTTGCGGTTCTTGTGACTGCTGACCAGGCAGCTAAGGACTACTACATGGTTGCATCGACCAGGTTCCTAAAGAAGGAACTTAGCACCGTGGGTGTGATCCGTTACGCAGGAAGCAACGTGCAGGCTTCAGCTGAGCTCCCCAAGGCTCCTGTTGGTTGGGCTTGGTCTTTGAACCAGTTCAGATCCTACAGGTGGAACCTAACCGCTAGTGCTGCAAGGCCTAACCCGCAGGGCTCATACCACTATGGAAGGATCAACATCACCCGCAGCATCAAGCTTGTCAACTCAATGAGCATGGTGAACGGTAAAGTCAGGTTTGGATTCAACGGTGTATCACACGTTGACACCGAGACACCTTTAAAGCTGGCTGAGTACTTCCAAATGTCAGAGAAGGTGTTCAAGTACAACGTCATCAAGGACGAGCCTGCAGCGAAAATCACAGCATTGACGGTAGAGCCTAATGTGCTCAACATCACATTCCGTACCTTTGTTGAGATCATTTTCGAGAACCACGAGAAGAGCATGCAATCATTCCATCTGGATGGTTACTCCTTCTTCGCAGTCGCGTAAGAACCTTTCTCGCCTCTTGTCTTTGTTTTTTCACACTCTCTCTTAATTTCTAACGTTGTGATGTTCTTATTATGGGATTGTTGAATCAGTTCTGAGCCAGGGAGGTGGACACCTGAAAAGAGAGAGAACTACAACTTGCTCGATGCGGTGAGCAGACACACAGTGCAAGTGTACCCCAAGTCGTGGTCAGCGATCCTGTTGACATTCGACAACGCAGGTATGTGGAACATAAGGTCTGAGAACTTGGAGAGGAGATACCTCGGACAACAACTGTATGTGAGCGTTCTATCACCGGAGAAGTCGCTAAGGGACGAGTACAACATCCCCCTCAACACAAACCTCTGTGGCATCGTTAAGGGCTTGCCTATGCCTGCAATCTACACCTAGATCCACAGATTTGGGTGCATTATTGATTTACTAATTAACCCTTTCCTCATATTAAATCTGTAATTTGTAAACTACACTTCTACTTTCTTTCATATACTATCATCATTAACCATAAGCACAGACCAAGTTTTGCTTCCAGATTCTTAGCAAGCAAGCACAATTCGGTTTAGTTAATTCCAGATTCTTATAATCCTTCTCGTTGGCAACATCTATAACATAGTAGAAACACACATCTCAAACAACACGTATACACCAATCCCCTACTTATGCTACTCTAATCAACATCGAGTCATAAAACACCAAATGTTTACACCAACATCAACATGCGCCAAGACACAACATCCGCGGGCTATTCCAATAAACACAAGGTTGAGAATAAGTCATGGATTCAATGTCCTAGCATAGGAAAACGTATAGAGGAATCCGCTCTCACCTTAGCTTTGCAACGACGAAGCTGAACGTTGGGGTTGAGAGGGTGACTTGCCGCACAAGAAACTCCGAAGTGTGCACTTAAACCTCACAGTTTAGACTTGCGGCTGCAGATCTAGCTCTCCGGTGACAGTGTCTTCCTCTCCAGTGACAAGTTACTCACGGTGGTGTTGGGTGGTGGCCGATGGTGTTCAACGGCGACGGCGGAGTAGGTGACGGTTTCGGCGGTTCTTTACTCACACGTTGGCGGCGGTCCCTTCTTTCTTCTTCTCCTCCTTTCTCCTTCCTCACGAAATATTTTACTCTCTCGCACTGATATCTCTCTCCCTCTTTTGCTCTCTCTTCTCTCGTTCTTCTCTTGCCGCGGCTAGGTTTTCAGAAGAGTGAAGGGGGAAATACATACGCACGTTTCGGCTTAAGAGAGGTGGGCCGACTTGGGCCTGAAAGGAAATAATTAAAAAAGGAACAGAAACCCACTTAAAAATTGGAGACGGGTATTACAAAACAAGTCCCCTAAAGTCCCCACTCTACACACTCTTCTTCGTTCTCTCCTTCTCAATCTCTCTCATTTCTTCTTCTTTGCATTTGTTTGTCTTCGATCGGTTTTGTTCCTGCTGCATCTTTATCATGTGGGAGTGTATATGGGCTTTTATTATCAAAGCCCATTAGTATTTTTTTTCTTCTTGAATTTTGACAATTGTCAGAAATTTGATTCTTTGGTGGTTATTTGAATGATTTAGAGATATTTTAAGGAGCATTAAACTTGTAATACTGTAAAAGGACAACTTTTCACTAAAATCTTTTGCCATTACCCAAAAAAAAAAGCCATGACATGTTTTTCCTATTACAAAAGAAAAAAAAACTGAATTATTTAAACACTAAACAAAAACTCTCTTTTATTATAAAAAAAAAAATCCAGACTTAAATTTCTATTGGAAAAATCATTTGGGGGGGTCGACTGCCTGCGGTTCTTTGTCTTTACTTGGTTAACCCGTTGAAGAAGTCATTACCAAAGCCCACACCAATAAACCCTAATCCCAGAAGAATACGGAAGCATATAGCCTGAAGTTTCTGCATAAAGGTGTGAACTTTTCCTGCAACATAAAAACAGAATCTCAGAATGAAAAGACTCACACACACTGAAACCGTTTGCGGTTTAAAGATCAGATACAAAAGTGGATCCAAATAGTTTACCTTTCTCTCCCATGGTTTCTTGTACTCTAAGCAATGGTGGAGCTACACCATCCGCGAACGCCAAAACTCTCTGTGATTTCGGTGTGAGTGATTGATCCACTCCCATTTCCGTTAAGAGCTGTTTGAGATCAATTTCGCCTTCTGAACTGTGATCGACTCCAAACCATACATTGTCAATGTGTTGGCTGAGTTCATCGTATCCTAAACTTGGAGGATAAAGAGTTTCTTCGTCAGGACTTGGGTATTTGGACAGAATCTGATCCTCTGCTTCGGAAGAACAGAGACACTGCAGCTCAAACAGATCTTTGAGCATCCGTGTAGGTTTAATCCCTGTCTCCTCTGTTTTGACCTCTTGTATATCTTCCAGTTGCTCAAAGACTTCATTGCCTGTGACTTTCTCAGCCGTAAACCTCTTTGTAGATGACTTCTTCAACGACCTCTCTCTGCTTAGCCTGCGCGGTTCAGGAGTTGAAGGAAGTCGTTTCTTGTCAAGCACGTGACTCCTGTTTTCGGATTGCGAGTGAAGCCAACTGTTAATCCTTGTAAACTCTGTTCCTCCCACTTTCTGCTTAGCGTTTTTCTCAACGATACCGATCTTGGAACCGGATTTCTTCGCAGATCCGAGGCCTCTCTCCAGTGATTTTGGCTTGTGCTCAGACACGACCAGCTTAATATCGCATTCAGATATGTCCTGACTATAATCTGTTGCTGCATCATCTGCCGTGTTCAGACGCATAACGCAAGTTGACTTCGAGACGCTCCTCTCCGATGAGTCACAGACGGAATCAAATCCGATGTTCTTCACCGGAAGACATACAGATTCAGCTCGGACAGATATCATTGAGTTCCTTCTAGACTTAAATCCTGGACCATTGGAGATTACGCTAAAATTTGTCCCTGATAACCTTCTGTTGCTACTTGCTGTTGGTCTCATGAAGCTAGGAAAGACATCTGAAGCACGCCTTGATTTGCTTCTCGCTATCTTTGGAGTAACTTGAATCTCTTCTCTTACCTCATCCTCTTCTTCTTCTTCTTCGATAACATGAGGCTTACCAGAGAGTTTCTCTAGTGTCTCGTTTAGATATCTGATCTCTTTCAACGCTATCTCACGCTCTTGCTCGATCTTTTCCATCATCTTCTGCAGATTCATCATCACAGCCTCCTTCTCCTCTTGTTCTTCCTACGCATCAAAAGAATTTATCAACCCATCAGAAAGTAAGTTGATGTGTTATGCAAGTCATTAACTCCACTACCTTTGATTCGTCCTGCCCTAAGTGAATGTTCTTGGCCCTCGTTGCGAAGTTTAGAGAGCATATGGTTTCACACAGATCATCTTCTTTCGGGCTGATATGAACAAGCATCAATGTTTTAGAGTCTTGCCCTAAAAAAAATCAGGAAACAAACTTTAATAACAGAAGAACAAATATTTCAGCTAAGCTCAAGATTTTTCGGAAAGTGGTAGTTACCGAGAGAGTCTTTCAGAACCTGTGTGAGCTTGCTGTTCCTGAAACACGGAAACAAAACCTCAAAAGCTTCAGAGATTCATATCTCAAGGATTACAAGTTTTGTTTGATATGTTATACCTGTAAGGAATGTGAGCATTCTTGCGTTGAAGAGAACTGATGACATCTCCAAGAGCAGATAAAGAGAGATTAATGGCTTTGCCTTCATCAAAACGACGACCAGTGGCTCTAGTTTTCAACACGCGCTCGCTTCCTCCAAGATCCACCAGCCAAATCTTGTTTTTTTCACGCCGTCTCTCAGGAGCTCCACGACATGTGATCGATACTCGGATCATACTGTTTCATATTTTCATCCATGTAGAGAGATCAAAAAACATTATGTTAATAGAAAAAGAGATGAAGATTTTGATGTTTTTTTTTACCAGTGTGATCTGCTGGAAGCAGAGTTAGAGTTTGTGAAGGCAGTTGCTCTGTTTCGACAACCTAATTTGTATAACTTGAAGACTTCATTAAAGTCATTCACTTTAAGAGTCACCAAATTGTCGATATCAACCTCTCCCTTTGCATCTGTGTGAATCAGAAGACTGAAACAGAGAAACAAATCTCACTGAGTCATAGTCCAAATCCGACCCTTCAATTTGGAGAGACTCTGCACATGTTATGCAGTACTTATTATTCATTACCTTGGAGGTATTGGATCAATGGGTTTAGTTCCTTGAGAAACAAGCAAGTCTCTGAGATTTCCCATGTAAATCTCAAGCATGCTAAACTTGATCACAAACATATGATTGCTTTCCTCGATCTGTCTAAACAAACCCTTGATCGCTCGAGGAACAATACCTGGAGATTCCGGAAGACCCTCCTGCAAGTATATCCATCACATATTATATCATCGACCTAAAGAGATTCAAGAAGCAACAATGAAATCAAAGAGATGATGTTGGATTTGATCCTTCTTACCATTGTAAAAGTTTTTCCAGTACCGGTTTGTCCATACGCGAAAATGCAAGCGTTATAGCCATCGATAACCGATTTGATTACTGGTTCGATCTCCAAGAACACATCATCTGCAAAAATTGAAAACTCTCTCATCAAGAACAGTTTCATGTATGAGGAAACTAATAAGGAACTTGTGAATGCAAAAATTTCTCAAAGAAGTCAAGATCAAAGCCACCTACCTTGAGATGAATCAGGTTGGAAAACTGTGTCAAAGCTGTAGGTTTTCCTCTTGGTTTCTGTTAACTTGATGATAACGTTTCTTGTATCCGAAGCAACCGGTGCTCTCAAGTTTTTGGAGTCTAAGGGCTTGACTCGACAAAACACACGAATGTTCCCTGACCACATTCCAATTTGAAATCTATGAAACTAGACTCTTAAACTGAAAACTTACAGTAGAAAATGTAGTTTTTCTAAATCGACTACTGACCTTTAAGGTCCAAAAACTCGTTAAGAATCTGTCTCCTTCGTTTGTTCTGATCATTCACGTGAGCTGTTAGCGCAGAGAGTTGATCTGTAACCAAAAAACAGAGGACAGTGCAAGACGCATTAGTAACAGAGCATAATTAATAACTGAAGATTCGTGAGAATTTTATTACATAATATCATCGAGTAAACATAAATTCTCACATTTAATTCTATATTATATAGAATCCGCTTGACATATCTCTCTTGACTATTACTATTTACTATCCCAATAGAAATCTTTGACTACAAAATACTGTACCCATTCATTCTGTTAAGTGGGAAAAAAGTAAAAGCCAATAATCAAACAGCCGCTAGATGGCTGACACGTCACTCTAATACAAGAAGAACAGCTGTTCCAACGGTTAGGATTCGTTGCATGTAGTAGGTAATCTTCACCAAAAGGATTTTTATTTTTTCACAAGAAAACAAGAATTTTATTCACAAGAAGTTTTTAAAAAATTAAGAACAAAAATCCAAAGAAAGAAAAAAATCCAAAAAGAAGGGAATCCGAGAGAAGTACCTCTAGTGCTCTGTACTTCGATGAGAGCAGAGTCGTCATCTTCCTCTGACGTTGAAGAAATCTCAGAAGAAGAAACGTTTTTAACGATGTTGCAGACAGATTTCACCCAAGCTGAAGTCATATGAGATTTCAAACCGACCAATGAATGGATTGTCTCCGGCAAATCCTGAACTGGTTTCGATCTTTTTCTCTCCATTAAACCAAATCTTGATCTTGATTAGGAACAGAGCAATTCCCAGGAATCAGATACTGATTTGCAGCGAAAGTGAGAGGAAAGAGAAAGAAGTGGTGAAATTGGGTGAGAGGTCATCAATGGCGGAATCTGTAGATTAGTTTACTTTGGAGGACAAATTTTTTTGGAGAGACTGTTCTTCGTGATCAAAATCTCCACAGGTGCCATATATATAATTACAGGCCCTTATAATACATTTTTTTTAAAAAAAACCTTGGGGGAGAGAAAATTGTAGCTGAATTTAACACTTGTCTGTCACCAAATGGATAATTAAAAAAAATTAAATAACTATTAGTAAAAGAATTAATTACTATTCCCCCTTTTTGGCTAAAACAATGTTGAAAAAAAATTCTACTTGGAATGCAATTTGTCAGTGTCTCTCTGATTTTTTTTTTGTCTAACTGTAAGTTTAACGGCTGTAGATGAGTTCATCCAGAATATCAGTAATTACAGCTTTTTTTTTTCTTTTCTAAAATAATGATTTAGAGCTAAATTTAGAGGTTATGCTTTACTTCATACTAATAAATTTAAAGTCTTAGTCTAAATTTATACAAATCATCAAATAGAAAACTATAACTAAAATAACCAAAATTGATGTTTTTTATATTCATTTCCTTTTTATATTTTACCATTATAAGATGTTATTAATTATAAATACCGATTATTAGTCTGTATCGTAGCATAAATAGATTTTTATTAAAAAGACAAAATATGGTATAAATAACAAATTTTGATTATTAGTTTGTAACTAGTATTTTTTAATGTTGAATTTGTATCAAGCCCAATATAAATGCAAAGTCCATAATTATTAAAAATTATTAATTATAAATACATATTTTTAGTATGTATTATATAAATAACTTTTTTCATTAAAAAGACAAAATAATTTATTAGTTCTCTCTGATTTTTAGTATGGTACTAATAACAATTCTGATTATTAGTTTGTATACTAATTTGTTTTTATGTTAGAAATAATTTATTCATTTGTGTCAAGTTCCATATGAATGCAAAACATATAATGTTAGGATTAAGGTAGTGCGGAAATTGTATATAAGATTAAAGTTATTTGTAAAAAAACATGCATTATAAGAAACTTATTCGAAAAAAATATTCATATTCAGAGAAAATGAAGAATTTCTAACTCCACAAGATTAGGGATTAGAAAGTTGGTTCCTATATTTATATTGATTAAAATGCCTTGATGACTTTTCTTTATAAATAAAATTTATCCGAATTTAAAAATAAGAATCGAATAAGAAATTTTGTCAAATTATCACTTAAGAGTTTTCCGCAGCAGTTAGCAACGATTTTATATAATATATTTCATTAATTCTTGTTGTTTTAACTTTCTGTTGTTATTTCAATCACTTATTAATAAAATATGTTTAAGTATCTTTGAATCTCTAATAAGTTTTCTGTAAACTTGTTGAAGAATCGGTTAATTTTCTTCAAACAGTTTTGACACTACAAAGAGAAATACTTATAGTTTCTAACTTTCTATATTCACTCGAAACAGGATACCTATGCAATCCTATTTTATAAATAAGAGAACGAGTGAAAAGAGAGAAATAATGAGCAATTGGGACATGATCCATTTGAAAAGTGAGAGCAAGAACATAGATATATATTCTTGCAGGCTATAGCTTACGAGCTTCTTGCTGCAGTTAGCAGCGACCCTAAATCTTGCATTTCGTGTATTTTGGTTGTTTTAACTTGTTGTTATTTCAATTTTTTGCATGCTTAACAACAAATTGTTTATTTTCGCCCAAGCATTTTTGACCATTGAATATTGAATATTGGTTCTAATTCAATTCATTTTAAGATAAAAACAATTTGTTTAACACATATATGTATGCTTTAACTGGCTAATTATCAACAATGTGACCTCTTCAGTACAGATTGCTAATATAGGTAATAACTACCAGGTAACTATTTCTTATTTTTTTTCTAGTGGAAATCATATATATAATGAGCTAAGGTGTCCACATCAGTATATTTTTAATTTTAAAATGGGTTTTTAAATATTTTGGTTTTATTTTTAAGTTTTTATATTTATGTATTTATTTTTGGGCTTTCAATATGATTCATTTGAAATTAAAAATAAATACTTATTTTACAAATCATAAAATTTCAAATTCTTCATTTGTGAAAAGGGGTTTAGAAGGCAACCAAATACAAAAGATTACGGAAATAATTACAGAAAATAATTATCAAACTTAAAAAATAAAACCTTAGAAAGATTTATATATAAAGCTAAAGTAAAATCATATATAAAAAAATAAATACTTATTTTACAAACTATAAAAACTACAAATTCTCTTTGAAATAAAAAAATTCAAAAAGTTATTTCGAATATAAACAAACAGAATTTGAGAAAAAAGTTGAAAAGTGAACAATTACGAAAGATGACTGAAGAACTAGCAAAGAATAGTTATCAAACTTATTTAAAAATGCTCAAAAATATTAATGCGTAAAACTAAAGTAATATCATTCATATCCACTTTACTGTGTAAAATGAATGAAAATTTTTCATAAATAAAGTGTTTAATTATATAGCAAAGAAATGAATTTGATTTATACGAAGGAGGAAAAATATGGCAAATAGTTATCAACCATTTATTCACAATGATGGTAATAAAAAATTGATATGCAATCACTTTACTCATCAGTCAGATAATATATGAGTTTTAATCTAAAATATATAATTAAATTAAAACAAGATTACTGATTATACTTTTTAACATAGTCATGGTGTTACATTCACATAATATAAAAATAGACAAAAATATTCTCACATACATTCACAAATATAGTAAGATAGTTCATCATTGAAAAAGGAAAACGCCTCAAATCAAGTAAAATCAATAATTTATCAAGTACGCATGATTTTTTGATATGAAAACCCATCAAACATATGTAATATTTGAACAGATCTTTTGCTCTGTCTAGCCAATTCTAACTAAAATTCTCCTTATTTAGATTTATAATAGATCACATAACTGAATGAGATGGAAGCTTGCATGAATTAAGAAAAAAAATCAGTAAATTGCAATCAAAATAGCGAGACTAAGAGCTATAAGAAAGGAAAAACAAATAAAAGAATAATTGTGCTTGAAAATGAGTTAGATTTTTTGAAAATCGATATAAAATTAAGAGAACATTCAGTTTAGAATGAAAAATGATTGATGATGATTTCACTATGAAAATAAGATGTAGAAAAAGATGAGAAATCAATTGAATACAAATAAACAGTAAAAACAAATATAATACTTATTGCAGTATATAAATATATGAAATATTTTTTTAATAATTAATATATTATAATCTATATTAGAAAAATAATTTACAATATATATATATATATTTAATTTAAGACAGCAAAAACATTCAAAAAATAAAAGATATATATATAACACACAATAATATTAATTTAATATATATATAATAGTAATATCAATATATAAATAAGTCCGTACAACGCGCAGATAAAAATCTAGTTTGAACTAATGTCCATACTAATAAAAAATCAAAGTCCAAAATAATAAACTCCAAAAAATGTCAAGAAAGAAAGAGCAAATCAATTATTTCAGGTTTTAGTTTTTTCATACTTTTGTTGTCTCATACAAAAGAATCAATCAAATAACACTCGTGATGAAACTCCCATGTGACAACAACATGAAGCATAACACTTCATGATGATAATATAGATTGTCCTATACCTTTTTAAGCAGTATTATAAATTAAGAGTTAGCATGTTCTCTGGTTTTTAGAATTTTGCTTCCAAATATACTATACATTTTTCTTGATAAATATTTTAAAACGCAATATATAATATATTTTGGAAAATCTACATTAAAATGCTGTTTTCTTTTATCATTAACAATGATTAACATTCATCCAAAACGTAATAGCTCTAGAAATATTTGTACTGCTAATTAGTAGTCTAATTTTTTTCTTTCTTTTAAACTTGTAATCTAACCCAAATAATTTACCAAACCAAATAATTAAATACTTTGCACCTTAGATAGTAGAAATGCAATGAAAGAGTTCACCTGCCACGATGGATCCATCAATGGATAACGCAATCTCACTTGTTGCCGGCTATGGTTAGAGTAAAAGTCTCTTCAATGTCTCTTTCTTACGATCTGGTAGTAATTTGTCATTAGCAATTAAAAATAGATCAGAATCTTATTTAGCAAGGAAAAAATAAAAAGAAGAGATAGTCTTAAATATATTATCATGTAATGTTTTTGGAGAGAAACGCCAACATAGACCAATGGATGAACAGAAGATTTGCAACTTTTTTTGCCAATATAGGATGACCCAAACATCTATGCAACTTAGTAATGTCAAATAACCTTTATTCCCCATGAACGGGTTAGGTTGTGTATGTGCATGAATTGAATATGAATAGACTAAGTCGTGAGGGGGATGATATCCCAATGTTCCTCAAGTACAATTGCTGGAATAGTGTGTTACTTTTCCAGAAATATTCGAAAAATACAGTTTGTAATTGTTTGATCCAAGAAAATAAGTATCTCAGCTAAAAAGAGACTTTTACATATTGTTGTGGCTATATTTTTGTTCTCGATAGTGAAATATTTTTCTCCTATTATATTAAATTATGATGATTTTTCTAAGATTTTTTTTTTCCCAAACAGAATCTGAATTCAAATTTAGCAGCGGTTGAGAAGCTTTATAATTGCATTAAGAAAAAACTTCATGAATGCTATATTTCAGAAGTTGACATTGAGAAATATCCTTCAAATATCTCTTGTGGTTTTTGTTGTTTTGTGTAGAAATTAATTTTGGTTGTCTTCTTTACGACATGTTTCATGAAATGTCTAATTCTAAAAATATTATATATTTATTTATAATTTATATTGTTGGAGGTACGTAGTTTTATGGTTATCTAGACAAAAGCAAATCAACAAAATAATATGTAAATATTTCGTCAACAGAATCACACTAATATGTAAACAGTTCGTCAACGCCTGTACCTGAAGGGAACATATATACACACCACATCATTTCTCTGGAAAGTGGAAACTCCAACCAAATATGTATTTCATCTTTACTATCTTAAAATCCAGGTTTTCGAATCTTTACCCTTTTTCTAATGTGTAGAACACCCACAAACTATCTAAGCATCAATGAAACATTGAATAATAATATTACATAGAGACACATACTTGCTGTTTGGTTGTGCCGCACACACTTTCTCTCGACATATGTGAGATGCCACATATGCTACTCGACCAGACGATATATGTATGTGTCGCATCTCATCCACCGAACATACATTGCAGTCGATCGCCTATGACCATCCAAGAAACGTGGTCTATGAATGCGAATCACATACACAATGAAAAAGATATGATCGAGTAATGGACTTAAAGTAATTACCGAGTTTGTCAGATTTTCAATTATATATTTCCTTGTCAATCTTTCGTTTGCTGGTGAGGAAAGGGTAATGGGTAATGGGTCGCAACTCGCGACACATATGGGCCTTCGTAATTAAGACTCTGCAACAATAAATACATTTCTCGTCGGGTCTCATCATTGTGTATGTATATGATTTAATGACCAAAAGTAAATGGTAAACGTAAAAAACCATTAGACTTCAAAATCTGGTAAACCTCTCGGTTTTCTTCGACCCTTGCTCAATTATTAGAACTGAAAGGTACAACACCTTTTCGATAAAGACAACATACAAAGAGGTGGATATAATAATACACAGGGGATTTCCCTTTTTTTTTTTTGTATCACATGCACACTTCTTCAAGTAATGTAACATTTGAAAACCTACTCACAACGCAACAATCAGCACAAGAAGAAGGCAAAGAGAAAGAGATGTGATTGCTCTCAGTCTTGAGGAGTCTCGAATCTAGTCGGTGTGTCGATTCCCGCCATACAACAAAGTCCACTTATCAAGATGATAAGCAGAACGATTCCCTGAGAAGAGGCAACAGACCTTATCAACACAGACTATATGTGGAAACACAAGCTTCCAGCTACAGACATTAAAGCGTTAAAGAATGTGTATCAGAAGCAATTTGCTTTAAAAGTGGGTGACTTTACCACTAAGATACCCTCCAAGAGTGATGACTTGAACTTGCAGAGTTCATCACAGGTTGTAGTAGCTTTAACTGTGGTGTTTCCTGTGGCGGTTTCAGCCAAAAACCTTTGGAGGGTTTTGTATGAAGTGTACCAATAAGGATCAGAAACATATAGCGCTGCGTATTTAGTTCCAGATTGCTCCACTGAACTAACAAGCTCAGATATGATTTCACCTGCAGAAACTGGTTCAAATGAAACTCGGTTACCTTTCTCAGATCACTTCTTTTGTAACTATGATTAGTCCACTTACGATCTGAATGTGACTGGTCAGATCGAATTGATGATTCAGATCCCTCAGAGCAGAGCACAACCAAATCGGTTTCCCCTTCTTTTCTCGTTTCTTTTCTAGCAACCAAATGGTCCTGTCGATAGGTGTGTAAAATTAGGAGGTTCAGGAGAAGTTTCACTGATTAAATAACGCATGGGATTTGTGAAAGCAATAACATAAGAACAATCGGATTACTTTGAAAGACTGCACGTTTGATAGTTTCCGAACTGTCCCATCCTCAACAAAACACGACTCTGAGAACACGATATTGCTGCTGAATCCTACATTGTGAGGGCAAGCTTCTTTAAGCCCTGAAAGCAACAAGTTTTCCATCATTTCCTCCTCTGGTGCAGTAATATATGGGAACGCCAAAGAGAAATTTGAAGCTGTGTACAGATTCTGATACAACAAGAAAGAAAACCAAATGTTTAAATATGGTGGAGGCTTCAAAAAGGAAATTTCTTCACGCGTTCAAGCATCTAAGTACAACTAGCTTACCTTCAATGTGTTAACAAGTGCAGGATCCGGGTTCTGGTTTGAAGAAACATCCAAAGATAGTAACTGTAGACGGAAGAAAATACTAAGTAGGAAATACTACTTTTTAAAGATAATCTAAATATTAGAAGCTTTAGCTTAGCAAGAAGGAAGCTTTATGTTCTTCAAAGCTCAACAGAAACGCTCTCACCTCTCTGCCAATGAACACGAGTGCCACATCAACAGGTTGCTCAAGTTTTTTCTCTGAGCACTGAACAAAGGAGACGGTAAAAATAGATATGAGAGAAAGAACCAATTTTGAGAGAACTGAAAATATCGTGGTTGCGGACAAGAGACACAAACATACCAGAAAACTAGACCAGCCTCCTTGTCTGAAAACGGAACCTACTAGATCCTTTGCAGACATGACCCGATAATTTACAGCCTCGTTCATTTCACCATTAGAAGACCTGCCATTCATCAATGTGGACATCCATATTAGCAAATTATACCAACGAAGATCGAAGATAGACATTTGAAAGCATGGAAGCCTCGAGAATGGTAAAAAAAACAAGGAGCAAGAGGCCTCACTGGAGATGCGGAGACCAGAGGAAAGCAGGAACAGTAGATTGGGAAGCTAATCCAAAATTGAGGTGAGATGCTAACTCGAGAACGATCAACAGCGCTACTAGACCCATTGACGACATCCTCATCATCTTCTCCGTCCAATTTTGCCGGCGAAGAGTTGCGATCAAATAACGCAAAACGACGGTCAACCGTAAATATGGTGGATATACACACACCTAAACGTTCGAGATCGATCTAATCGAATTATTTCAACCTTCAAAACCAAGAACTATTATCGAAGAACTAACGAGAAGACAGATTCATCATCAGATCCTCTCGAATCTAGTCTGTGTTGGCAGAAGACGGCAAGGAGCTGATTTAAAACGACGCCGTTTTGCTAATTACTAAGCCCCAGAAACCGAATATGGTTTAGCGAGGAGAGCCGGTTTGAACTTAACGGTCGGATTGATATGCACAGAAGATTAAACGACTACGTTTTGTTAACTGTCAGGTAAAGGGCCATTAACATTTCGACCCGGCCCAATTTAAATAGACGAACCCTGAACCGTCACTGACTCACCGGACCAAATATCGCCGGTGGAAAATCAGATACTCACTGTCCGCATTCGAGCCCTGCTTCGTCGAATTTCCTTCTCTTTCATTCCCGCCCAAAAACCTTTAGTTATCCCCAATTCGGCCATTAAAGCAGACGCAACAGCTTTAGGAGATTTCAGAAGATGGGGAAAGTTGGGATTGAAGAAGAGGTGGAAGGAGATCGCGTCGAAACTACCGATTACTACTTTGAGAGAATCGGCGAACCTATCTGTATCAAAGAGGATGACGCTCTATACGATCTCGAAAACCCTCCGTCACAGCCTCTCGCCATCTCCGAACGCCACGGCCTAGTCTTTGTAGCGCATTCATCCGGTTAGTATTCAAAATCGGTGACGATGGTACAGGTTTTTGCTCGTGCTGTTTAATGTATGCGACCGTATTTTGTGTGAAAATTAGGGTTTCTTGTTGGAAGAACCAAGGATGCCATTTCTGCTTCCAAGAGTAGTAACGGGAAAGGTACCAGGGTTTATATCCAGGATTTAGCCCTCGTGGATGTTCCCGTTGGGGATGTTCGTATATTGTCTCTCTCGGCTGATGATTCGGTTCTCGCTGTCTCCGTCGCTGCTGATATTCACTTCTTCTCCGTAGATTCACTTCTTAATGAGGTATATGGCTCTTAAGCCTTTAGTCTTTGTGGCCTGTTGTCTGCCTGTAAGCTTGGCTTCCCTTTGTTCATGTTGGGTTCTCCCTTAAGTTAACTTCTTATTTATATTACTCCGTGCTAATGCTTAGTCTTTACTTACTTTATCTGTCCTTAATTACAGGATGTAAAGCCTTCATTTTCTTATTCACCTGATGAGTCAGGCTTTGTTAAGGATTTTCGGTGGACAAGGAAAGATAAACATTCTTATCTTGTTCTTTCAAACCATGGGAAGCTCTTTCATGGAATTGATAATTCACCCCCTAGGCATATTTTGGATGGTGTTGACGCCGGTTTGTTTCATTTCTTATGCTACTTATTTGGCAACTCAATAAACCATGTTATTGGCAACTGTGGAAGATCGACTCTGTAGGAACTTATTTGTGAACTTTGTTGTTTGTCAGTTGAATGGAGTTCAAAAGGGAGCTATATTGCTGTGGCTCAAGATGATAGTCTGCGGATTCTGTCGACAAAGTTTAACGAGAAGCGGTGCATAGCATTATCGTTTGACACCTGGATTGGTGATTCCAATGAAAACTGTGTTGTGAAAGGTATGTTGAATGTTCTGGCCTTCTTATTTTCTATCAGTATTTACCGTTTTGGTTCTAATTTGATTGTTGTTGTATGGTATATGGGGTGTTTTCTTATGGACTAACTCGAACTGTATTCCGATGCTTGGACATACTGTACATATTGAAAAAATGATCCTGTCGAAAGTTTTGTTTCTTACTATTTCCCATCTAAATCTTGGTAACATCCATATAGTTCTGTATCTCTTGAAATGGTGTTGAAATTTCCCTGGTTCTATGCACACTTCCATTTAAAAGTTTCGTAGATGGCTCTGAAGTCAACCCTCTCAATGACTGACTGTTTACCAACAACATTCTGCAACAGTTGATTCTATCAGATGGGTACGCAACAACTGTATTCTTCTTGGGTGCTTTCAGCTAATTGATGGCATGGAAGAAAGTTACCTTGTTCAGGTTATCAGGAGTCCCGACGGGAAAATTGCTGACGTGAGTAACCGATTCTTTTGAAATGGAATGAAACAATAGGATATGTAACTTCTACTTATATGATTTGTGATTTTTCGATCTTCTTCTTTGCAGAGTTCGTCCAATCTGGTTGCTTTATCCTTCTCTGATTTGTTTCCATGTTCGGTGGATGATCTTGTTCCGGCTGGTGTTGGACCTCATTTACTCTTTAGCTACATAGACCAATGGTACTTTAGGCTAACTCTACCGTTCTTTTTATTTTGTTTTCCCTTTTCTTTTCATAAATACTGGAATTTTTCTGCGACCTGCAAACCGTTTCTCTATTTGTTCCACTCTTGATTAATTATCCGATCTTTAGATTTTTTTCCCATAGGTAACTATCTAGGAAGAGCTGTAATTTACCAAGAATGTTCGCAGATGAAAATGGTTTTCGAATACAACTAACTATGATAAATGTTCCTATCATTTTATACTGGAAGTAAATTTGCGCTGGTTTCGTATTTTACCATTTTCGCTTGGAAACGCAATAAAGTCAGTTTAGTTATTCCTGAAATTTTCTTATCACAATAAGATACATGGACAAAGTGAACTAACACTATTATCAATGCTAAAGATGATAAAGTATTGCTAACTTCTCTATGTTTTCACTCTACAGCAAACTGGCGATCACAGCAAACAGGAAGAGTATAGATGAGCATATTGTTTTGCTTAACTGGTCCCCTGGTGAGGATACAACTGCAGTTTCCGTTGTTGATATTGATCGGGAGACCTTTTTGCCAAGGATTGGGCTCCAAGGTATACGGTCCAGAGTTTCTTCTGTATTGTATATGTGCTTCTTTGTACAGTTAACTTACATGTTCGATATAACAAAAAAACATTCTTTTTCCAGAAAATGGAGATGACAATATGATCATGGGACTCTGTATCGATAGGGTTTCTGTTGAGGGGACCGTTAATGTCCGTTCCGGAGATGATGAAGTGAAAGAACTCCCGCCATATTGTGTTCTTGTGTGCCTCACTTTGGAAGGAAAGCTGATCATGTTTAATGTTGCTAGGTAGGCTTTATCTCTCACAATGGTTTTAAATATCCCATTACCCATAACAACATTACAGGAAACGTTAAAGTTTGTTCCTCTACAGTGTTGCAGGGCTCGCAGCTTCCTCCGATGTGGATTCGGCTTCTTCTTCTGATATAGAAGATGCTTATGCCCCTTCAGTTGGAGATGATCATTCTGAACAATCTTCTGAAGAGCCTGAACAACAACAAGAGTTGAATGTTTCGGTACAAAATGAACAGAAGCACCTAGGCTCAGAGAATTCAATCGCTCTGTTATCTACCGAACAGAGGTTCCCAAATGAAAAAAATTCTAGCAAGGAAATTGAATCTGTAAAAAGTTCAGTCTCTGGGAACAACAACGGGAAACAAGAACTCTATGCTGAAAAATTAATACAAGCTGCAGATGGTGAACAAAGCATGATTCCTAGGCAGTTCGGAACAAGTTTTGGGCAACCTCCTTTGTCCTTGGGATATGGCACTAACAAATTTGCAGGATTCGGTCCTATCCTCCCTGTTTCTGATAAGGTTCAAAAAGACATATCTGAGCAGTCTAAGTCTGCACATTTTCAGACAAGTTTTGGGTCAAAGAGTTCACCGGGGTTATTTTCATTTTCTGGCCCACAGAATGCTTTTGCTCCTTCACCACAAAACACACCAACTCAGGCATGGTCAAGTGGGAAAGGTGTCTCGCCTCCAAATTTTGTCTCTAGATCATTTTCTTCAGTAAAAGATACTCAGCAAAAGCAATCTGAACAGATTGGAACTGGTTATTTTAATCCTCCGACGAGCTTCAAAGAGAAGCCTTTACAAGTTATTGAAACTGCGAGACCATCGGCTCTGAGCAATTTAACTCCTCCGCCGAGTCAAAATCAGGACGCCGATGAAGGGGTTGAAAAAATCGAGCCAATACCGTCTATCCATACCTCCCAATTATCACTGCAAGTGAAATCTTCATTCGAAAAGTCCTCTAGTCATCAGCAGCACAGAACTCCGCTGAATCATGGACCTCTGAGACTTGAGCAGAACATGTCAAAGCAACCCAGTAATGTAATTTTTCTCTCATAATACTTATTTCTGTAAGATTTTATCATGTGGTTATGTATTCTGAACTCTCATGCTTTCTCATTCATGTTGCGCTCTAGTTTGTATCTTACAGGACTTGAATCATTGGCGTAACTTACTCTTCCTTTCTTGTACCAGATAAATGAGATGGCCAGAGAAATGGATACGCTTTTACAGTCCATTGAAGAACCAGGTGGTTTCAAGGATTCTTGCACCTTTTTACTTGAAAGTCATATTGAAGAATTGGAGCAAGGACTTGAAAGTCTTGCTGGCAAGTGCCAAACGTGGAAGGTATATAATAGTTAAAAATCACGTATTTCGATTACCTCTTTTAATATATGACCAAACCACCCTTCTCCAATCTCCATATAGAAGTACTGTCATCCTGGTTCTTTGTCTGTATTGTTAACTGATTTGGCATTGATCCTGATTCAGAGCATAACTCACGAGCAGCAAGCAGAGATCCAACAGCTTCTGGACAAAACAATTCAAGGTGATCTATATATTTTATCATCCCCATATGTAGCGCGGAATTACGGTTAGCACGTCGAAAAATATATTCTTCTGAAAAGGTGTCTTAACATACAATAGGCGAACTAGGAATATAAGTGAAAGTACATTGCTAGTAAGGATAATAAGTAATATCTAGAAAAATTTAACTAAAGAGGCAAGTTTAAACCTTATCCATCAGACTTCAAATCTCAACTTAAATCGAGAAGTTGAGAAGAGGGAAACAAATTCGGATAGAATAGGCTGAATAGCCCATTTCTTGATATGAATGTATCCTATTGGACACGTGGTGAAAAGTACGCTATTCTATCCTGTGATATCTGATATGATGGTGAAATAGTGCAGAGTACCAGTCTGATATTAGCATAAGCTTGCACTCTAAATGAGCTTCTTGCAGTTTTACATATGTTGCTCTGGAAGTCCCTAGGCGAAAGTTTTCTTTTTTATTTGGTCTCTGGATATATCTAATACCGTTCTTACCTGGAATCTAGGCTGAAAATTATCAGGCTGATATTTTTTTTGTCTTATTATTTCATGTGGGGATTTCAGTTTTGGCAAAAAAGACATACATGGAAAGTATGTACAAGCAAACTTCTGATAATCAGTACTGGCAACTTTGGAACCGCCGGAGGTTGAATCCTGAGCTTGAGGCCAAGCGGCAGCATATTATGAAACTAAACAAGGTCGTTTATGGGTTGATATATCTCGCTCATCTATCTGTTACTGCTTTAATCCGCATTGGTCATTTATCTTCTACTTTTGCCATTCAGGATTTGACTCATCAACTCATTGAATTAGAGAGATATTTTAATCGGCTTGAACTCAATCGCTACCAAGAGGATGGAGGACTCCCTGTGGCCCGAAGAGGTGTGGCAAATAGGTCTGCTCCTTCAAGGTATAAATTTTAAGGGAAAAAACCCATCACAAGAAATGGTTTAAGCTGGTCATAAACTCCCCTTTTCTACCACTGAAATTGGGTTGATTTTCTCTGCAGACGTGTGCAATCCCTTCATAGTCTTCATAACACAACGAGTTCCCAATTGGCAGCTGCTGAGCAACTCTCTGACTGTCTCTCAAAACAAATGGCATTTCTGAAAATCGATTCACCAGTCAAAAAAAATGTGAAGCAGGAGTTGTTTGAGACAATTGGTATCGCTTATGATGCTTCTTTCAGCTCACCAGATGCTGTAAAAGCTAACAATACATCTTCAGCAAAAAATCTATTACTCTCGTCTATTCCTGCAAGTATAAATGCAGAGTCAAGACAACGACAGTCATCTGGTATGAAAAGTTCTGACCCTGAAACTGCCAGGAGGAGGAGAGAATCACTAGACAGGGTAATTTCGTGGGACATTTTCGACTCAGTACTAGACCACACATTATATGCACATTATTCTGGTCGGTGACCACACAAAATTCTTTAAATTATGGTGTACCCTCAACACTCACGCCTGGTTCTACTCGTTGTAACCTTTTTTTTTGCAGAATTGGGCTGCTTTTGAGCCTCCAAAAACTACTGTCAAAAGGATGCTTTTGCGGGAGCAACAGAAGACGGGTATGAACCAACAGAATGTGACGAGTGATAGAGTACGGTCTACAATTAATACACAAGAGCAATCACTGCTTCGCCTGAAAGATCATGCATCACCTGTAGTCTCCTCGAATAAGGGTGAGTTAAGATTTACTGTGTAGTGCATTGAATTGATCTTCAAGAATGTATTTGTGTTTCACTTGTATTCTATCATTCTTTACGACTTCTCTCGTTTGACTGTGAAATTAATTTGAGCAGGAATAATGGAACCATTCCGACAAGACAAATCGGAGGCTCAATCAACCACGTTTAGATCAAGGTCACCTATGCCACAATCTAACAGTCCCTTTGCCCTCTCTCCAATCTCTGCTGCGAAACGACCAGTGGCTTCGACTGTGTCTGGACAGACAGAAAAGAAGGCTGGGGAATTAAAAAATTTTGAAGGGAAGGCAAATGTGTTTCTTGATACAGCTGCTGGAAGTGGGCAGCGGCTTACTACAACATTGTCGAGAGCTGAGTCTGACTCTAGCAAAGGTTTTGGCGTTCAAGTTTCATCGATGTCTACTGGTGCACCAGCATCTAGTTTCCCTGTAAAATCGCTGTTTGGTTTCAATGCCACGAGCAGTATACCTGGTGATAAAGTAACTTTTCCTGCTGCAACGGTATCATTTTCATCGTCACCTTTTTCTAGCACGTCACTTGATTCCGCTTCCACCTTATCTACACCATCATTACCTCCAGTGTCATCCTCTACACAAGATTCAGGTATGTTTACTTTGAACTCTTTGTACTGTGTTTCATTAACATAATAGCCAACTATAGCAACTTTATATCTGGTCAATGACACTGCTGTTATTAATTTCAGTTCCACCATCTATTCCCATCAGCGTAGCATCGGTCCCTCAAACGTTTCCAGTCACATCGACATCTACAGTTTCAGCTAATGTTCCATTTGGTAAATCGTTGACCAGTGCCAGTTTTGATCTCAATCAAGCAGCTACGTCAACACCTTCTCCAATACCTGGCCCCACAACTGGTTTCTCTTTTAAGTTACCAGCTTTGTCTCCATCATCCCCTGAAATTGTCTCATCTTCAGCATCACAAACCAGTTCACTAACAGATAGTAATCGGTTGTTTTCATCAACCTCCTCGTCTTTGACTGCCCCTATTACTTCGACCGCTCCTGACGCGTTTCAGTCTCCTCAAGTTTCCACCCCGTCTTCTGCTGTGTCCATTACAGAGCCACTTTTAGAACCTGAAAAAACAGAGGCTCAAAGTTCGTCAATTTCAAGTACAGAAAGTACTGTAGATCCTGTAGCAAATGCAGCAAAGTCACAAACTGAGCTGCTGCCAGTGAAAAGTGAGATTTCGAACCCAGAGACTACAGTAACCCCTGTCAGTTCATCTGGGTTCCTGACTGGATTTTCATCCGGAACACAGTCTAGTCCTGTAAGCGTGGCACCGCCTTCATTCAGCTGGCCAGGTAGTTCTCAGCCGCAACAGATATCTTCGGCACCTGTCTCTTTCCCTGCATCCTTATCAACCTCTGCAAGTCCATCTGGTGAGAAAAAAGACACTGTAGATACACAGGAAGATGAGATGGACGAAGAAGCTTCAGAGGTTAGCCAGACGACTGAACTCAGTATGGGTGGTTTTGGAGGATTTGGGCTTGGGTCAACTCCAAACCCGGCTGCTCCCAAATCAAATCCGTTTGGTGGTCCCTTTGGTAATGCTACAACAACAACAAGTAATCCGTTCAATATGACAGTCCCAAGTGGCGAGCTATTCCGACCTGCATCATTCAATTTTCAAAATCCTCGGCCATCTCAACCGGCAGGTTTCGGTACGTTTTCTACAACACCTTCTCAAACTCAGACTCAGAGCGGATTTGGGCAACCGTCACAGATTGGTGGAGGACAGCAAGCTCTAGGATCGGTTCTCGGTTCATTTGGGCAGTCGAGGCAGCTTGGTACAGGTCTCCCCGGAGCTACGTTTGGTTCTCCCAGTGGATTTGGTGGCTCTAACCCAGGATCTGGCTTCCCAAATGCACCAGCATCTGGTGGTTTTGCTGCTGCTGGTTCTAGTGCTACTGGTGGCTTTGCTGCCATGGCTTCAGCAGGTAGAGGCTTTGCTGGTGCTTCATCTAGTCCAACTGGTGGCTTCGCTGCCTTAGCATCAGGTGGTGGAGGCTTTGCCGGTGCTGCTCCAGGAGGAGCCGGCGGTGGATTCGGTGGACTTGGTTCAGGCTCTGGAGGTTTTGGAGGTTTTGCTCCTCCTAGCGGTGGAGGCTTCGCCGGAGCAGCAGGAGGAGGTATAACATCTTAACATTTGATCTATACAACATACACGTACGCAGTTATGCTCATTCATCGTGACCATCGTTTTGTTGACAGGTGGTGGTTTTGGAGGTTTCGCCGGTCAAGGGCAAGGCCAAGCAGGTGGTGGTGGGTTCTCAGGGTTTGGTGGCAACTCCGGAGGAACAGGAAAGCCATCGGAACTCTTCACACAGATGAGAAAATGAGAGCAATAATGTGCTAAAAATCACAAGGCGATGCAAGTGACTTATCTCATATTTACCTAGTCTCAAGAAAATTTTGGTCGAGCATCTAGCTAGACTAGTCAAGTCGTATATTTTCTATAAATATATATCGTGTGTTTGTCTACTCTTTTTTAATGTAGTAGTTACGTCAACCAACCTTCAAAATGACTTAACTCTCACGTGGCTCATGGCTCATGCCTTAATGGCCATTGTAGTTAAAGCTTTTTCATCCTTTTCTGAAAACCCGGTTTGGCTTCTTTATTTATATAGCAGTATAAGTGAGATATTTTCAAAAAAAAAACAGTTTTTTTTATACAGTATATATATATATATCCCATCTTGCAGATTAAAAAGTGATTTTAAATGTGGAAAGGAGTGGGCCTAGTGGGAAGCGGAGGAGCAAAAGAGGCGTTTATTCCCAGTCTTCAATTTAATTTAATTTCAATGTAATTTCGTCAAAGAGAGATTAAATTTCTCCGGGGAATATAATTTCTGTTTTCCTCTTCTTCGATTCGATGTGATCCCGCCAAACAAACTCTCTTACTCTCTCCTCCTCACGATTTTCTCCACCGTCGATTCTCCACCCCCTTCTCTCTCTCTCTCTCCGTTGATCTGTGCTTCGTCGCCGGCAAAGTTCGCGGGATTTTCGACATTCGAAGCTTCGTCGTGATATTGTTGTCTTTTATGAAGGGACATCGGAGTAGCGACGAGATTTATGATGCTTTGTGGTTCTTTGCGAGATCGAATACATCCTTGGCTTCGCGACTATGTTAGGCTCCAATCTCTCGCCGTCGTCCTTATTTACGCCCAGGTTTTTGCTCTCTCTCGTCGTTGGTTGATTCAAATCTGTTTTGGGTCTAGGGTTCATCGATTCGACAAATTTCGTCATCGTTTGTTTTTTTTTGTTTTTTTTTAATTGTTTCCGGTGGTTTCAGATTGGGTGCGCGCTGATTGGATCACTAGGAGCATTGTATAATGGAGTTTTGCTGATAAACCTGGCGATTGCGTTGTTTGCGCTTGTGGCAATCGAGAGCAATAGCCAAAGTCTCGGCCGAACCTACGCGGTTCTTCTCTTCTGTGCTATTCTTCTTGATATCTCCTGGTTCATACTTTTCACCCACGAGATATGGTATTGCTCTTAAATCCCCAATCCTTGATATCCTTTGCTTTTTAGAGTTTTTACACACATTGTGTATTTCCCTGCCAGATTTTGGTCGAGTAAAATTGGATATCAGCTTGATAGATTTTGTTTTAGCTCTCTGTTCATTTGAAATGATGGATCATTCGCTTGCATTTTCCTTCCAGTATCTATAGCATCTGATGTATTGTTTATATGATGCCCTTTTAGTGACAAAAACATTTCATTGTCGATGCAGGAGCATTTCAGCTGAGAAGTATGGTACCTTCTTCATATTTTCAGTGAAGCTGGCGATGGCGATGGAAATGATTGGCTTCTTTGTGAGGCTGTCGTCCTCTCTCCTGTGGTTTCAGATTTATAGGCTGGGGGCTTCTATTGTCGACACTTCACTTCCCCGTGATGCAGATTCTGATTTACGAAGCAGCTTCTTGAACCCACCAACTCCTGCTATTGCTAGGCAATGTTCAGGTGCTGAAGAAATCTTGGGAGGTTCTATCTACGACCCTGCCTACTACACCTCTCTATTTGAAGAGGGTCAAACCAATATGAATTCTCCCAAGGCAACACAGGTTTTTTCTTCTTTCTATTTTCTACTCTCTTCCCCTATTGACTTTGTTTATGTACACTCTTTGTCGTCGAGCTTTCCTCTATGTTTTCAAATTTTTTGTAATTTTATCTGGTAAGGTCTCTCAGGCTGTATTTATTCATGCCTTTTTACTCTGTCAAGCCGTCGTCTATCTTGAGAGTTATTCCTGATGTGGACGCAATGCAATATTCTGAATCTGGGATAAATTAAGCTAGATTATTCTTCACCTTCTTTAGCTCTTTGTCCTTCTATGGTAGATGCAAAGAACAAGAGCGCTTAGTATTGATAACTTCCCGTTTTATGATATACATAACACGCATTAGAAAGTGATAATAATGAGAAGTTTCATCTAACAGCATCAAAGAACTTTTTTTCAGCCAATTTAAAGTTTTTCACTTTTGTGTACTTCATTTGTAGGTGAATCATTATTCAGTTGGGAACAATGGATCACCATCTGCTGCAGAAGCCTCTCAGATAAAGTCTCCCAAATCCAGATCATTGCATGCAATTGATGTTAGTCTCCATTGATTCAACAATTTTTTATGGCTCTTGGTCGTATTGCGATATGTCTTGTTTCTGTTTCGTTTTCTTCTCTCGTATCACATATAATAAGACAACTCTCGTTTGCAGGAAGAGAAAGGTTTGAAACTACCAGGGATGTCTTCATTATGAGCAAACTTCATTCAAGAACGGTGGTGCTATTTTTTTTTAGCATCTGAACAAAGAAGTGTCTGCTTTGCATTAGCTGAGAAGTTTAGTAGGATTTGAAGGAACGGAAATTATATTCCGTAAGCGAGAGAATCATGGAGTCTTCATGTCCTTACAAAGGATAGCAAGATCATATATCACCTACCAGAAGATGAGATTATATATGTTGACGACAAGTAAGCACCGTTTCTACTTTTGCTTTTTTCATTTGTTTATTTTGTATGAAAATATTTATTTTTTTGGGATCTATGGTTAGAATAGAGTCAGAATCTACTTGATGCATCATGATTCTTTGCGGGCTTTTCTTGTGTGTAAATGAAGATACATTTTCCATTTTGTTGTTGCAATGGAGATAGTATAAGATTTCGGCGTTGATATGTTTCATCCTTGGTGTGATTTATTTAAATTTTAAGTAAATGATCTTGAGAATATAGATAAACTAGCTTGAAATCTTCTGGGGTTGCTCGTGCGTTAATGAGCATGAATATTGTAGTGGCATTTTGCAGGAAATGTTGGAAGATTCGGTTTGAACATGGTTGTTATGCGGTTTAGACCTGGTTGATAAGCGGTTTAGACATGATTTGAACCTGGTTAACAGAAAATGGATACGACTTGTAACTAAAACCTCCAACTTTTTGGATTCTTACCACAAGTTCTAATCTAATTGCAACACCTGAAATAAAAACACTGAAGTCGTGTGTCCGAATTTGCACCGTTCGCTTATTTTCTTTCTTTATTTCGGTCCCAGATCGCACCATTAGCTTCATTAACCAAACTGTTCATGCCTTGAAACGTGGCTTTTTATGTTTTTAAAAGCCCATTTAATAAATATATATATAAAAAAGCCCACGAGTAAGTCGAGCTAAAAAGGATGAAAGGCCCATAAAATAAACCCAAAACTCAATTATCGAGAAAAGTCCACTGATTAAAATCAGCTGATCTAATTGATTAAAGGAAAATGGGGTCAAATTCTGCAGCTTATTAAAGACATACAGACAGACCCAGAAGGATCTAGAATCTCCCTTGTTCTTTCTTTTCTCACGACAATCCTCCTCCTTTCGTATATTTTACAATCCCACAAACCTAAACCCTATTTTTTTTTTTCTTTTTTCTTCAGTTTCTAAGAAGACAAATCAGAAATCGTTCCTTATCGCAAAATTTTGTTTTGTGCTTATCGGAGATTAATCTTGGCTTTTTGCTGTTGAAGAAGACTCGAAGGTTAAGAAAAGGTGCTTACTTTCTGGCCTTTATTGTTTTGTGAGTTAGGTTGTTCGTAGTATTTTTATCATATAGATTTATGGGTACTTGGCTGATTTTGGGTTGCAAATGGATTGTATCCGAACGTCCCCAGATTATTCTATCTATTTCGAATCAGAAGAACGAATATTCATCCATCTATGATTGATGGTGACTTGGTTTCAAAAAAGCTTCACGCTTTTCGTCTGTTTTGATGAATATTCTGGTTGTGATTTTAGCGATTTTCAAAACCCCTTTTCGTTTCACGTCATTTCAACTAGTTTCTCCATGTTGCTTCGTAATTCGTGATTTTTTTTATTCGCAAAAAAGTCGATCTTTTTTGGATTTATCTGTGAGTTGAGAAATGGGTTTTGTATCGAGACTGATTCTAGGGTTTTTGATGTTTCTTCTTCTTCGCTCATGAGACTCCGTACCGTATTGATTCATATTTGTCTTCAACGAGAGACTCTGCTGTCTCTGTCCCAAAATGGTTTTGTTAAAGCTGAGGTTTTTTTTTTTTTTTGTAATGTTTGGCTATGGACAGGGATCGACCATGGAAGAAGCAGTGGCGTCGAGGTACTGGTGTCACATGTGCTCACAAACTGTGAATCCAGTAATGGAAGCTGAGATCAAGTGCCCCTTTTGTCAAAGCGGGTTTGTCGAAGAGATGGAGGAGGAGCAAGATTCTTCAGAGACCAATGATCAGAGAGCAAACAATTCCCTTTGGGCTCCCATCTTGATGGAAATCATGAATGATCCTACGCGTCGCAGAAGGAACCGGAGTGTTGAGTCTGTTGAAGATAACCAGAACGCGGCAGAGAGTCTTGAGAGTGACACTGCAAATGGTAGAGAAACCGATTTGGACTCGCAGCTTCAGGAGATTATCAGGAGGAGGAGAAGACATTCCGCCGCCGTTTTGCAATTGCTTCAGGGGATCCGAGCTGGTTTAACAGCTGAATCTGAGGATAACGGGGATAACAATCCGGATAGAGACAGAGAACGCGTGATCTTGATCAATCCGTTTAACCAGACCATCACGGTTCAAAGCTCTGTTGATGCTGATTCTGTGCAAGCTGGCTCTTTAGGCGACTATTTCATCGGTCCTGGATTCGAAGCGTTGCTTCAGAGGTTAGCAGAGAATGATCCCAACAGATACGGAACTCCTCCAGCTCGAAAAGAAGCTGTTGAGGCTTTGGCTACTGTGAAGATCCAAGAGACTCTGCAGTGTTGGGTTTGTTTAGATGACTTTGAGATTGGAACCGAGGCGAAACAGATGCCGTGTATGCACAAGTTTCATGCTGACTGCTTGCTACCATGGCTTGAGCTCCACAGTTCTTGCCCGGTTTGTAGACATCAGTTACCTGCGGATGAAACAAAGACTGATTCAGGAAGGACAGAAACAAATGATGACAATGGGGTCAGTAATGCTTCTGCTACTACAAGCAGCCATGGAACTGAGAGCAGCGATGGAAACCGCCATGAAGATGAAGAAGAAGAGGAGGAAGAGGAAGAAGAAGAAGAGGAGGAGGAGAATGATGATGATACTACGAGCGGATTCTCGATCCCGTGGCTGTTTGGCACATTGTTCTCGTCGTCCCAAGATAGCAGCAATCCATCGACGGGTACAAGCTGAAACATGTTTTCCTGAGCAATAGAATTGGTTTGATATGATCATGAAACCACGGCTCAACCTAAAAGCCGTTCTTGTCTGTACATAAGTTTCTCAGATTTGGTTGAATGTTAATCTTTGGAAACCAAAAAAAGCTATCAATTTGTGTCTTTTGTTTTGTTTTTGAACACTTTTTGGAAGAGGTTCTGTAAGTCGCTTGTGGCTCTTTATTGTCAACCAAATCCACTTTTAATCTGCTCAGTATTGCTTTGATAAATTTGATTGCTTTAAAACGTAAATAGGGTATTACAACATTGATAACTTTGTTTAAAACGTAAAGAAGGTAAGAAACAGTTTGTTCATTGTTTAATCCATTACTATCTTTTGTTTACGCGTGAAGATTAGTTGGAATTCATAAAAGCTACACTACCAAATCACGTGTGTAAATAATATAACCAAAGTTTCCGAGTTCCGACCAAGGTGCGGTCTTAACGAACTTAATTATTATATTCAAATTTATAAACCATTCATCAGCTCTCATTCTTTCTCTATATAATAAGTATTTCAGATAATCTTAACCAAGAAAGAAAGAAAAGAAACTAATGAATCGTCAGGTTTTATCCTTAATCACTTTGGTCCTTCTCTTACTCTCGGCCTACAACACAACTATGGCCCGAACCTTGCCGAGTAAGTGACTGTCTTGAACTTACTTAATTGTTAAATCCATAAATATTTCACTCCTTAACAAAAATTCATTTTCAATTTTTTGTTTTGCTTCTTATAAAATGAAAAATTAAAGTCATTCTGATTAATTTCTATTTTTTTCTAAAAATTATTAAGGGGAAGGAAACGGAGCAAAACAGTTTGAAAATATAAAAATCGGTGTGGGGGGAAGTAAATCGGCACATACTCGTTCGGCTAAGCCTGGGCATCACGATCGGCCCGGAGGAGTGAACTAAGCAAATGATTCAGAAGCAATGGTTATGTCTTTTTTTTTCACTCGATAATCGTTGTTGTTTCAAAAAATATAATTTAAGCTAATATTGTCCACAAAAGGAGAGTTTAGTATTAGTTGAGAATTATTAATGTCATCGTCGCATCCATAAACTCAAATCTAAATCAAAGAACAACGTGTCTGAATCAAGACGACCAAAAATTCGTATTAGAAAATTATCATACTCTCTCTCTTTCATAATAAGTATCATTTGAAGAAAATGTATCTGCAAGGTATCTTGATGTATTAAACTCAAAACACATCCAGATACATCCAATTACAATGTAGATATATTTTCTCCAAATGATACTTATTATGAAACGGAAGGAGTATTTTGTTAAAAAAAAAAAAAAAAAAAAAAACACGCACGTGCGGCGTGTAAAAATGATACGTGGTAGAGAAAGAGTGGACGTTCACCTACAAATCCAGCAACGACAGTAATGTTAGATCTTGGGACATGATATCCCCGATTTACCCTCGTTCTAAAAGAAAGAGTGAGGGGTAGTTTAGGAACGTATATATATGTATAAGAAGTCCTTAAGCTCCTCAGATCCAAAAAACGCGATTTGTAAGCCTCGCAGATCAAATATCCCAGAGAGAGAGAGAAGCCAACCCAGAGAGCGATATTGAAAACCACTCTCTCCTTTATATAAATCCCATTTTACAAATCTCTTTCCCTCTCTAAAATTCTCTCTTCTTTGTATAAAAAGCCTCCTCGAATCTTTCCTCACCCTTCCTTTCGCCGGGAAATTCCTCTCTCCCAATCATTTGGGCTAAAACGGAACCCTAGATTTCAAAATCCGGATTTCAAAACTGCTCGCGAAAGGTCTGATTTCGATTCTTACCCTCTTTTTTCTAACGTGTTCAATTTCATGGGATATGATTTGATTTGAGTTTCTTTGTACCCTTTTTAAGTTGCTTCTTCGAAATTGGATCTCATAGTCTGGACTTGTGTTTCCGTTCTTTGATTGTGAAACAAAAACGTTTACCCTTTTTTGAGACAAGCTGATTTGGTCAATGAATTCGACCCTTAAAAAACCCATCTTCCTCGTTGATTTTTGTTGGCTTAGATCCACATGAATTTCTATGATTCGAGCTTTAGCTGTTTTTTTTTTTTTTTTGAATCTATGATTTTTGTTTATGTTAGAGAATGGCTGATCAAGGAATGGAAGGGAGCCAGCCTGTTGACCTGATTAAGCATCCTTCAGGGATTATTCCAACTCTTCAGTGAGTTCTTTCGTTTCTCTTTTCTGCATTTCACCGTTTTACTTTCTGTGTTTGTGCTTTGTGCTTTGTGAATGACAAGGTTTTCAAACTTTTTGCTTTGTTTCAGAAACATTGTTTCTACTGTGAACTTAGACTGCAAGCTTGATCTTAAAGCCATAGCTTTGCAGGCTCGAAATGCTGAATATAACCCCAAGGTTTGCATTTCTGTTAAAAATCTCATTGAAAACTATCACAAGGACCCACTACTCTTCAGTATTGATAAATGATCTGGTGTTTGTAAATCTGGTTGGCTATAGCTAGTTAGCTACTTGTACTACTCTGGAATTTGGTTTAATCTTTTCTTTTTCATGTTTCAGCGTTTTGCTGCTGTGATTATGAGGATAAGAGAGCCAAAGACCACAGCTTTGATATTTGCTTCTGGGAAAATGGTATGTTATATACGTTTATAGCATGTTTTGTCAGTTTTGCGTACCATGTTCTGGTTTTAACGCAGCATCTATGTTATCTAATTTCAGGTGTGTACCGGAGCTAAGAGTGAACATCTTTCGAAGCTGGCTGCAAGAAAGGTAATTTCCTCCTCTCAATACAGTCTGAGTTTCTTCATCTACGAACACTGAACTTTACATATATAATTTCAGTTTTTTTCTCTGTTATTAAAGAATGCCTTTTTGTTATTCAGTACGCTCGGATTGTCCAAAAGCTTGGCTTCCCTGCAAAGTTCAAGGTACTTACACGTCTGTCTATTTTTGGTTCTGCTCCAACAAACACTGTATTATTATTATTATTTAGTTTCATTTCAAACAGCAAATTCGTTTTTGTCTAGTATAATGAAGTTGCTTATTACCTTCTGCAGGATTTCAAGATCCAAAACATTGTAGGCTCCTGTGACGTCAAATTTCCCATTAGGCTTGAAGGTCTTGCATACTCTCACAGTGCTTTCTCAAGTGTAAGTGATCCTCAAGCATTGTAAGCATATATAGATTACAAGATGGGGATAATCAGTCTGATGATTTCGTACCTCTCTCACATTATTGATGCCAGTACGAGCCTGAGCTATTTCCAGGACTGATATATAGGATGAAACAACCAAAGATTGTACTACTAATATTTGTGTCAGGAAAAATTGTTATAACTGGAGCCAAGGTAACATCTTTACTTCCTCTCCAATGATTTAACAAATTTGCCCATGAAAATGCTTCTGTCATCTGATGAAATCCTGAGGTTAACTACTCTATCAGATGAGAGAAGAGACTTACACCGCATTTGAGAATATCTACCCTGTTCTTACAGAATTCAGGAAAATACAGCAATAAATAGTATGTAAGTCTCCAACTTTCTTCACCTCCCTTTTGCATTTTTGTTTCTTTCCCATACCTCTTAAACCAATCAACGATTTGATTATTGATCTTTTGGTACAAGCAGAGCCTATAAATCGAAAGCAACAAAAAGGAAAACCATTGCCGTGAACTAGAGATCTCAGGTGGTGGCAAGCGCTTGGTGAGGTTATTTTCATCCAACAAGAACTTGGTTTGATTCAAATTGAAAACAAAAACTGTAAATACAGAATGGAGGTGCGAAATATCTCTTTGCTTTTGTTTTGTTGTTCCAAATTTCTTCCAAGTATCTTGTTCCTTGTAATGTTTGTTTCAATGAGCAATACCCAATCGTTAAAGAGTAACTTCTTTCCCTGCTACTCGTCTGTAATAAGACTCTGTCTCTGGTAATGACAAACAATAATCGAAAAAAGCCTAATATTTATACATTAAGTTCCCCCGGTTTTGACATCCACCACATGGGTTTTTAAATTTCTACCCCAAAAACTTGTGCAGCTTGGCCTATGTAAGAGTTTGTTCCTGCAGTTGTTCCTGTGAGGAGCAGACCCAGTGGTAGTGTTAGAATATTTATCAGTTGTAAAGAGGAGGAGATGTACTTAGTTTAGTCGTACGTACCTCCGTAACAAACAAGGCGTGGAAGCCATACGGGACCCTATGCGGCAGCTCCACCACCGCGACTGGCTCAGGCGACATCGTTTTGGCGTCTATCACGTTCACACAAGATTTCCTGTGCGGTCACTATGGTGTTATTGTACCGGAGAGAAACCAAAGACGTGCTAACTGATAAGGAAGTAGCAGCAGTACCCTGTGTTTTCATCATGAACAAAGAATATCAAGTAACCATCGTCTTCTTCCGCTGCCTCGCGTCGCGGGACATATGAAGTGTCCGAACTGTATCTTCCTTGTCCCAGCTCATACATATTGCCTCCTACTTGCAGCATACTTTCGCCTCTCTCATCAGCTTCCGCATGCAGATCAAATTTGATAATCCCTGTAACCTTTGCGATACTGTCCAGAGTTGTTCCGTAACAATATACATATCTCTGTTTCCTAAACAAAAACCACAAAGAATGATGAGGTTTCCTTTGCATGGGAGTCATTCAACACACAAAGGACAAGGCTCGTGAAAGTCTCCTTACTTTCCAATGTAGCCCTCGTTGATTCTGGGGAAAGCAACTGCAGATGCCGATAGTTTCTTCTGAGAAGCTGAGCCTGTTTTCATGTTGAATCTCATCTCGTACCTGCACGAGCAACAGTTTGATGACATACATAACACGGCCAATCTAAACATGTTCTTTTTAGTTTACATCGTCGGAAAAACGGATCCTTACAGTTCGGCGCTAAAGCTTGCAACTACTTGTTCCACATTCCCGCTGACCATGTCAAGATCTGGATTCTCGTGGCGACAAGTGATGAGGACGACTTCATCTTCTTCTTCCCAAGCATTGGCTATACACAAGTTTATTTGGTGTTATATATAAAGTTTTGAGGATACATAATAAATATATAAGCCCTTAAAACATGAGTGTACCGTTGTGGAATATAAAGCAGTTGGGAAGCTCAAACCATGTAATCATGAGATCATCCTTGGCATAGCGTGGAAGAACACCAAAACGAGCCTTTCTTGTGGGATCAAATGAGTATATCATTTTCCTCTCTTTCACCATTTCCTTGGAGGTAAAAAAACGTCATACCTTTTAATATCCTTTATTTGCTTTATAATCACCTGATGAGTAACATGCATACATACCTTCGGCCTGAAGTGCATAGGAAGATCCATGAATATTGCGTAAGTCTCAGTAATAGCAAAATCATGCATCATCATTGGGTTTGGTATAGTAATCGGGACTGGGTCATGCATAATGCCATCTTTCGAGATCACTCTGTATGTTAGATAAGGTGGAGTATGTGAATAGCCAAACGTAAACATTTCACCTGCAGATCAGAGAGAGAGAGGGAGAGAGAGGCCATGCATGATCATGGGGTAACCGAAGTAGTAGGCTTGTTTCTCAAGAAAAGATTGATGACTCACCCGTAACCGGGTCAACTTTTGGGTGGGCGGTGAAGGAGTGGGTCAATCTATTGTCATAATCTATCATGCCAATAGTTTGCAGGTCTCCATCTTCCAGAACTTTGATGACATCTACAAACCAAAAGAGAATGGCTTTGACTTTTAAGAATCTTCCAAAACCAGCACTGACCAAATGTATCCCAAACGAAGAGGTTAGTAGAGGCTTACACGGCTTATCTGCCTCTTGTAACGCTAGAAGTTTCCCATGGTGATATACGAGCGATGTATTAGCTGAGGAAAAGAGAGTCAGATTCTTTAGGTCTTAAAAGTAGAAGGGAAGAAGAAGAAGTAACGTAACAAACCAGTTCCATTTCCATAAGAGTCGTCGAATACTTTCAGTTTAGTTCTCAGTTGTTGCATAATGGCCATGAGCAATCCAAAAACCCCCTTAAGGTCCCCAATCTGCAAAATTTGCAACAGCAAAAGACTCCAAAGGATAAGAAGAATTAAAAGATTTTCCCCATGCAATTGCACACGTTTATAATATAGTTAGTATAGCTCACCTTCATCGATTTGGCAACTCCGAAAAACTCTTCCTGCTTGAGACGTGATGTCTTGACGTATCGAGATACATAAGTTGCTTTCCCATCTTTAATGCGTAGCCCATGTATCATTCTGCAAAGTTATACAAGACATGATGAAGGAAGGAAGATTCACGTGAGAGCAAGGTCCTTAATTATTGTAAAAGAAGTTAAATTGTAATTTAGTTTTTGGATATATTTTTAAAAATAATGAGATTTATACAAATAAATAATTATGGAAAAAATCTTTAACAAACAAAAAAACTATTTTGTAAAAACAATCTCTTTACATTTTATATTTTTTTCTGGAAAATAAATTATAGTTGGAATATTACTATACTAATTGTTTAAATTAATATGCTTCCAACAAATATATAATTATCATAGATAATAAAATATTACTATACTAAATCTAGATTCATTGCATAACTTTTTGACATATATATATATATATATATTTTAGATATTAAAAATAAATATTTTTGTAAGTTTTGTATGGGTCACGTAATTAAATCCATGGCAAATTAGGGATTTATGAGATAACTACAGAGACAAGAAGATGAAACAAGAAACAGTTTAACGTACCCATCTCCATCAAACCTGAAAAGAGCAGAAGGAAGAAGAATGAATACAAGAATATAGTATAAGAAGTAAAGAAACCACCAATATACCAAATGATGAATATCGTTTAATGTAGTAAAAACGAACAAAAAAATATATATATGGAAGAAGAGAACGTGCCAATGATATCCAGCGACGGGATCAAACATGGGATTTGGACCAACCCTCACAAATTCACCATTCAAGCATTCCTGGAAAAATTAACAAAAATATGATAAGAAATCATGATCAACGGGAAAGAAATGATTAGAGGTTGGAGCTCGCTCACGGGAAGAAATCCATGGACGGGGAGATCCTTGACGGGAGGAGTTTCATCTCGGAGAGGAGCGAAGTTACCGGAGAGGTAGTGGAGAGGGAGAGAAGCATCGTGCATGAGCTTGACAACAACTCTCTCGAGAAGATCGATAAGCTTAGAGGAGAAACCCTTTGAGGGTTTAGGATTGACGGAGACTATACCGCCGTCATCACTGAGCTTCTCCGCCGTGAGTGATTGATGAGAAACTGATTTGAGAAGCGAGCTACACCGGACTGAAGAGGGAGAGAAACTCTGGAGGCTTTGGCGATGGTTCTTGAGCTGAGTTTGAGGGTTATAAGGGTTGTTCCGATAAGGTTTCGTGGCAGTGATCATCGAGCAATGTGGCGGCCTTGGGAGCAGGAGAAGCCTGTAGTGTAATCTATAGATGGACGGTGGCTGAAGAGAGAGCATGTTGAAGAAGATGGTTGTGATTGAGATTTCGGACAACTAAAACTGTGGGGGGAACTTTAAGATTAAAAAGACGAAAAAAGAGGTAGCAAGTGGGGCTCACAAGTTTTTCAGACATTGATTACTTCTCCAAGTCCCTAGCTTTTAGGTTTCTCTTCTTTTTTAATTAATTTTTTTTTTAAATTAGGATGTGATGATCCACGCTTAGCGCGGGGTTAGTTTCTACTTCATGACTTTGCTGTGTTGTGTTAAGAGTGATGAGAGAGATTGAAAAAAACTATATTAACTCTCACATACATTGCACAAACATATACACAAGATGAACATACTATGATACTAATCTTAATTAATAATAAAAACATATATAATACAAGAATGACTAGAGTAATAACAAGAATGATTATTATGATTGAAATATCCTTGTTTAGTAAGTAATATACATTCGTTCCATAATATAAGATGTTTTAGTTAAAAATTGTCTCAATTTATAAGATGGTTTATAGTTTCCATTCAAATTTTAGCATTATTTAATACTTTGAATTTTGCAGTGATTTGGTGAATTATGTTTTTAACTAATGCTTAGATGACTTTTAGAAGAAAAAAAGAGTAATTGTATCCCCACTTTTATCAAAAATACAACTGATAGTGACGTGCTGATGCATATAACTTTATCTGTTTTTTATATATATGATATTTAAGGTTTTGCACAATGCATATTAAAAATTTCTAAAACATTTTATAAAAAACGGAGGTTCTACCAGTTGTATTTGTTTTTTTTTTTTTTGAACATAGTTGTATTTGTTACTTCGAGAATGGAGATAAGAAAGTGTATAAAATCACCAGACGTGTTCGTATAAATAATACTGGTAATTATCGGCACAAACGTTCATGAAACAATTGAGAGATCCAAGATAACTAATAAATGAATGTATCGGTGGGCAACAGAAAGTTAGAACGAATATTTAGAGATATTACACTAAAGAAAATATGGAAATAAATAAATACTACTCCCTCTATTTTATAAAGAGTGTCATTTTAGAGTTTTGTTTTTGTTTCACAAAGAATATCGTTTTGAGTTTTCAATGCAAATTTATAATCAAATATCCAGTTTTAACCTTGTTACATTAGTGTATTAATTAGAAAGAAAGAGTTGTTTAATGTATTTATAAGGGATAGAAAAGACTTTTTATTGATTTTCTTAATTTATATGAAAAATGTCAAAGTGACACTTATTTTAAAACAGAAGGAGTATAGTTTAGCATCAATTATAATAATCGATGTTATAATTAACTAGTTTGGCATTAATTCAATAAAATTAATATAATTTTTATTAATTTATATTTCTTCTATTTCATAATAAGTGTCATTTGCAGAAAATGTATATGTATTGTAATTGGATGTAATTGAATGTATCTGGATGTGTTTTAAGTTTAATACATTCAGATATATTACAGATACATTTTCTCAAAATAATACTTATTATAAAATTAATAAGTATCATTTTAAAGAATCTTAGTTTTGCATGAAATATCTTGTGGAGATGCCCACGTCATCTTGTATCACATCATCAGTCTCATCATATCAACAACACAAATACACCTTCGTATTGTCAATATGGGTGGGGACACACATGATACAGACATGCACGAATTATTGCGCGTCCCCTCTATTATGAGAATGCTAGCTTCCAAGACGATACCAGTTTTTTTTTTTTTAAACTCGTTTAATTCATGCAACTTTTAAAAAATTTAAAAACATTTTTAAAAATATTAGTATAAAACAGTGATTATTATGATTGAAACCCGATAAAAAAAGCATAATACGTCATACCATCATACATGATCATTGATCAACTCGGAGGATCTATATCCAACTTGATTATCACTTCTTGAACCGACATATTTTAGTCAAGACATGGTAACTTCTATAAATATTTTATCTTCTCCACTAAGGAGGATATCCGATTTTTCATACATGACTTTGAACATATTCTCAACCTCTCTAAGACTCTAATTCAGGAAAAGAAAAAAATCTAATTACTTAATAGAGATTAACGAAGAATTAACACAAGTGGATTCCTTCGTCAACTCGGGACAAAAAGGACTTGAAAAGTCAACTCCGATCTTTTTCCTAAAAGCATGTGCAATGCAAGTTTCTTGATATAGTATCTAACAAAAATGTTCTAATGGTTCCACCAATAATTCCAATTATCTATTTCTCCTTCAACCAATCAACGTATAAAAATACTCTTCACATCGACCACATATTTCTCTAATAATCCACTGCAAAATTGGCATATTAGTGTGGGTGAACTCTTGGCGCTACCGATCATTACCGGTACAAACTAACAAAACCATCCCTTCTTGACTAATACTATTCTTTTGTGATGAGTCTATATTATTTTTATCTAATTTCTTTTTCATAAAGTCTTTCGTTATTGTTTTATGTGTATAGCTTTTAATTTGATTGGACAACACAACTTCTTTGAAACTTCTTGTAAGAAAATTAAAACCAAAATGTTTTGGAACGACCATATTCAAACACAAATGCATTTCAACGTGTTAATGCAAATTTATTATATTCAACAAAAATGCATTTCATAATTTTTTTTTTTTTAATACTTATACACATGTTAATTCAAACAATGCGAATTTTGGATATCCAGTTATACAAACTCAAACAATTTCTCGATTAATATTTGGCAAACTTGGGCTTGAAGGATTCTGCTTATGAATGTCGGCTCAGGCCCACCATAATTTTGGATATCCAGTTATGAATGAATATTTTATTAAAGCGCTTATGAATGTCGGCCCACGCCCATCAGAAATTTTAGATTATTAGGATGTAGTTTTGGGTATTAAACCATTTGCTAACCCAATCAATTAGAAGCCCAATAATTCGATTCCGGCCTGATTTCCCCACTTGCTTTTGTCTATAGACTAGAGAGTAGAGACACAGTGTCAACAAATGCTTTCTCAGTTCTGCGACCATTTCTGATTTGTCTTCGGAAACCGCCAGAAAATCGAACCTACACTAAACTTCACAGGTTCCTTTTCTTGGGTTTTGTCCCGTTCATTGCTTTTCCAACATTCCAGCTTTTTTTGTTTGTTTCTTTAGGGTTTGGTTTCGTTCCTCCGTGTGTGTAGCTACGTTTTCAATATTTACTTAGCTTTTGCCTTCTTACACGGTGTTTTGCTGTCGAAGGTATGGATAGAATCAGTGGATTACCCGAGGAATTGCTGGTTAAGATTTTATGGTTTGTTCCGACAAAAGTAGCTGTATCCACTAGCGTTTTGTCTAAACGATGGGAGTCTATTTGGAAGTGGGTGCCTAAACTTGAGTTGGTGGATATTTGGCCAGAACTTGCAGTACGGGATTTCATGAACAAGAACCTGCCGTTACTTAGAGCTCCGGCCATAGAAAGCTTTCGCTTCCATACTTTTTCTTCACTATGTACACCTGAGGATATTCACAAGTGGCTTGGAGATGTGGTTTCTAGCAGCATTCGTGAGCTAGATCTCAAGTATTATGCGGGCGAACCTGCTGTGTTGTTTCCAAGCAGCTTGTATACATCCCAAACGCTCGAGACTTTGAAGCTTGACGGCTGTAGGATTCTCGTGGATGTTCCACGGACGGTTTCTCTCCCTTCGTTAAAGACTCTGCTGCTTGGAGGTGTGACTTACGCAAATGAAGATACTCTTCGGTTGCTTATATCCTATTGCCCTGTTCTTGAAGATCTGACTATTGAGCTAAGTGCTAGTGGTGATGACAATTTGAAAGCGATAGTTGTCATTAGCCCGTCTTTGCAGAGGTTGACCGATGGTGGATCTTATTCCACTTCCGAGTACGTGATAGTTACCCCATCTTTGAAGTATTTCAAAGTTGAGAATTATGCAGTCGGGTTCTCCTATTTGGTTGCGCATATGCCTAAGGTGGAAGATGCAGACATCGTTGTTAATGAACATTTGGAGGAGCCTTTTGAATTAATCACATCTGTCAAACGCCTTTCGTTGTGCGTATTATACAACTGTGGAGAAGAGGTAAACCTGTTTTTCACCTATCAACTTCAACTTCAACTGTGGAGAATTGGTTTTTTTATCATAAGATTGTTGTTACCTTGTTTTGTGTGCAGTATATGTATCACAATGGTATTATCTTCAATAATCTTCAATAATCTTCAACATCTGAAGCTGTGTATACGCTTCGATTATTGGTCAAAGTTACTTTTCCGGTTGCTTCAAGATTCTCCTAATCTGCGAGTACTCAGTCTCCACGTAGATGTAAGTTTCTTCCTTGACCTATATATGCCGTATAAAAACACTATTGTATGTTCTAGTCTTACGAACTCTCTCTCTCTCTCTCTTCTTTTATAATCTCAGGTTGAAAGGCGTTTTAAAGAGTATGAAACGATTAGCTGGAACGAGAACGAGAGCTCTGTTCCCAGCTGTCTGCTGGAGAGTCTTGAAACTTTCGAGTTTGCAGAGTACAGGGGAAGCCAAGAAGAGAGAGATTTCGTGAGCTTTATCGTCAAAAATGCTCGTCGCTTGAAGTCTTCATCAATCACGCCTTGTACCAGAGAAGTAACTTGTTCCTCATCAGAAGGTTCCAATGATTGAGGAGTTGGATTATGGATTCTAGGCTTTGTGTTTGTTCAGTTCCTGAAACAATGAATTGTTTTCTTTTCGTAGTTGAATTTGGAACGAAACATTTAACCTCTTATCATGTCTGGTTATTATGTTTGTATCTCATAATTTTAGTGCTCTTGGGGGACATTCTAAGCTAAAATTTAGTTACCACTCATAAATGTAAAAGAAGACACTTTAAAACATGAAAGTCACATTCCATGAATATTTCACACAATCTGATCACCCCGAAAGATAAAATATAGATATAGTAAGTCGGGGCACGGTGCCGGTCAACAGCCATGACGGTGGTTGTCTAGAGAAACAGATCTAACGGCTAATAATTGACAGTCGATTTGATTGCGTCCAATATCTGCATCAAACCCATGATTTGTTAGAAAATGAGTTTATGGGTCGGAAGAAAAGAAAAAGGAGGAACTTGCCTTGTTCTTGGTGGGCATGTAGAATGGCTCAAACACAAGAGGGAATGGAGTGTCCAGACCACAAACTCTGCTTACTGGAGCTTCTAACTGCAGACGAAAACCACAGTTAAAACAAAACCAATTAAGAGTTGTAATCTTGTAGATGAATTAACTTTTTAACTTTTTACCTTCAAGAAACAACGCTCGAGGATTGTTGCAGAGATCTCTGCTCCAAAACCTCCAGTTACCGGAGCCTCATGGCTTATCTGCAACCCCCAAGGAAAAGCAGTCTATAATACTGACCAGACAAAAAAAAAACAGAACCCAACAATCGAATCAAGATTGCTTGAAACTTACAAGAAGTCTGCCGGTCTTTTTAACCGAAGCCTCGACGGTTTCTTTGTCCCAAGGCAGTAGAGTCTTGAGATCTATCAGTTCACATGATATTCCTTCCTGCGTAAACTCAAGACCTGCGTTAGTAAGTGTAAAACAATCATCATCAAGTTGAATGTTAAAACCAAAAAACCTTTTCCGCGTCCAGACAAGCTTGTTCCATAATGGTAAGCTGAGCTCCCCATCCAACAAGTGTTATGTCACTGCCTTCTCTTATAACCTGACCAATAATTCATCCTTTGTCAGTCTCGACTATGAGATCTTCATCTCCTAAAAAAACAGAACATATTTATACCTCAGCTTCTGACAAAGGAATCATATAGTCATGCTCTGGGACTTCTTCTACTGCTTGCCGATACAACCACTGAAAGAAGAACAAAAGTTTCAAGACTTTAAGGGACAGACACTCAAGAAGAAGCTGATTTGGTGTAAGAGAAAGAGAAGTACCTTTGGTTCGAAGAAGACGACGGGATTTGGATCACGGATGCAAGACAACAAGAGTCCCTTTGCCTCTCGTGGACTCCGAGGGATAACAACCTTAATACCAGGGACATGGCAGAAGAAAGCTTCAGGGGATTGTGAATGGTAATGTCCACCATGACCAACTGCCCCATAAGGTGCTCTTATCGTAAGTCCTATCAACATCCATTTAAACTCTCTAATGAGTAAAAGAGGTACTGATGATGCCAATTCAAGAAGAAATGTAAAGATCATATATACATAGATACCTCCACAGTTGAATTGGTTACCACTTCGGTATCTGAACTTCGCGGCTTCATTAACAATCTACGACGATTCGTAAACTCGATCAGAAGCCCGCAAGTGGAAACCATATGAGTGCCCTAAGCGAGAAACATTTACCTGATCAAAAGCAGGATAAATGTAATCCGCAAACTGAATCTCTACAATTGCTCGATTTCCCTGTCATAATCAAACACCTATAGATGTTATAAATCAATTTACAACAGAAACAGAAGAATATCAGAAACAATAGTATAACTCACCATTGCTGCTAAACCAATGCCAAATCCAACAATGCCCTGAATCCGGCCATATTACAAAACCAGTCAAAGCTTCTCTTCAGGAAATGAAACAGTTGCGGTAAGATCAATAAAACAACAAGTTAGGTGTATCAAGAGGATTCAGACCTGCTCGCAAAGAGGAGTATTAAAGACACGGTTTTTCCCAAATCGATCAGCTAATCCCGTTGTGCAGCGAAAGACTCCACCAAAGCCAACATCTTCCCCAAAGACATAAGAGCTTCCACAAAAGTGTTCCACCAACTAAAGTCAGACTTATAAACAAGATCACACATCTATTGAGCAACTAAACGTGTATTTTAGTTAACTCTTTCCACATTCGCCAATATTTTGTACTTCTACTTTTTTTTTAGTAATGTGGAGTTCTTAGCATCAATGTGATTTTCAAAGAAAACAACTCAAATGGTTTAGACAGCAAGTAAAAGAGAATCCAGACACTCTAAGGAAACAGGCTTCGCTAACTGGAACTCTTGAAGCTAGAGAGAGAACAAGATCTCACCGAGGATCAGTTTCCAAGGCGATGTGAAGCGCTTGGTTGATAGCAGAGTATAGATTCAACGATTTCACGGTTTCCGATTCACACGCCGTCGTCGACACCCTTCTTGCTCCGTGAGTTGATCCCGGAAAAACCAGTTTCCGGCAGAATCTGCCTAAAAGAGCCGCCATTAATGCAAAAGCTCGACGCTTTCGTCGAACCCACCAACAACTAATCTGAAAGACTACGTCGATTGCTATATCCGACAAGAGAAGTATTTAAATTTGGCAACAGTCACCCACTTTTGTAAGAGTTTTAGGTGGCAAATGGTTTGTCCTTTTGGCTGAAAGAAGAGATTTCTAGTTAATCACGGAGCTATGATGAAGAGGATGATACTCCCGCCACGTCGGATCCGACACGTATCATCGATATCTTTCTCTTCCAAGTTGCAACTAAATTTGATGCAATCTAATATTAAACACGAACACTAGTTGGTCTGATTATATTTTGTTGACTTTACATCCAAGAGGCAAGAACAAAGACAAAATCTTTCTTCAATTTTACCTGAATGTGTTAATACAGGATTAATCTAATCAGCTTCTTAGAAAACTTTGATTGAAAATAACTAATTTCAGACTACTTGGAGATTAGAGAGACAATTGAAGGACGAAAGTGGGCAAAAAGATGCAAGAAAAATCGATTGTAACCAAAATCTATAAGGACAATGAAGAAAAAGACTCAACAGAGTGATGATATCTGAAACCAAACAAGAAAACAGAATAAAAGGAAAAAACCACCCCACCCTGATTACATCTCTCTCTATCTTTATAGGCATTTTTACAAGGTAGGATCAAAAGAAAACAAAACCCCAGAAACTCATGAAGATCATCGAAACTAACCAAAAAAACAGAGAAGAAATCAAAAGAAACAGAAAGAGAAAGAAAGAAATGTAAAAAGATGACCAAAAACAATAACGGAGACTAACTTCTAAGTCAGATCTTCTTCCTTGGTTCGAATGATTCTGCGGTTCAAACTCTCTACGGACTACGGCAGTCTGATTCTCATAAAATATTGCAACTTGTAATGCACTTTCTACGCCTTCTCTCTCGTTGCGTTGTAGGGATGTTATATATCGCTGGCTCTGCAAGAGATTTGTCTTATGAGCTGAAGACTCTGACAACTGCCGTGAGCCTGCAATGGTAAAAACCTAGCAACCATTTGGAATCACACCGACTGGCTTGTCATTATTTGAAGAATCTGCTGTCTCAGCGACCTTGAGATCGCTAGTAGGTAGAGTTTCTGAACCAGATTCCTTTGCTAAATCGGCGGTAACAGTTTCCTTTAGTTCATCATTGGTTTTTCCTTCCCAGACCTGTTAAGATGTGGGTGCGTTTCAATGTCAGCAAAGAGATGCGTAACTGCAAATGCATACACTCTACAGATTCAATTTGTTTCTTCTTGTCTTACCTGCTGCTTCTGGGATCGTTGCTGAATAGCTTTTTTCTCCAATATAGTCTTTTGTCGGACCTCGTAGAAGGAAAAATCATCTAAAATGCATGTCTTGCTGTTGTGCTCCTTGAAAATCTTTATAATCTTCAAACCCTGCTCCAACTTAACCTACATGATCCCACAAAGAAAAATGTTTTCAATATTGAAACGCAGAAACTGTGCCTGGCTCAACAGAAACAGATGGCACGAGTAATGTAAAACACTTACCTCTTGTGTGTCTCTGCTGTTGGTAACAGGTTTGTTCTCGTTGTTCTCAAGAGTAATATGCTTCAGCAAACTATTGGGCACATCCTTCACTATATGCCACTTGAGTGGGAAAGAGCCGGTCCACCTATCCTGTTGCCAGTACTCAATGTTCTTGTTGAAATCAACCGGACCCATCATTTCCGCAAGCCCAACAAATTGTCCACTTGCGTTCACCTGAAGAAAATTGGGGTACATACATCTCAATATCACTAGACAAAACAAATAACACAACATCGAATGAATTGAGAATTAGGTACCAACCGAGAAGAAAAGAAACACAGGGCAGACACCAGGTTTCTGCTGAGCCTCCTGATACGCAGCATCGAGCTTCTTGTTTCCATTTGGAGTGCTAGCCCAAACATTATACTTGATGCTCTTATGCACATCATCTTCACTGTATGACTTGATGATAAAGAACATAGCATCTTTGTACTCAACTGAAAAATCTTCTCTGTTGCAATCTTCTCTATCTGGAATACCGCATGTTACAGTCTCCTCAGTCTCAGTTGTTACGTTTGATTCATCACCCGTCTGATCCTTCACCTCCTCTAAGCTTGCTTCTAAGTTGTCCTTCTGGCTCTTCATTCCCTTGGCTCTAGGGCCCCTGTTGAGTTCATTCAAGCCATTTATGTTCTCGTTTCCATAAAAGTAACTGTTACCCCTTCCCCGGCTTCTATATTTGTTGTCTACAGTAACCCAGCCTCTTTCGTTTGCTCTTGAATCATATCCCGAAGAAACATAACCCGTACCAGATCTAACCGTGCTACCATTCAGACCATATGACTTGTTTGGGTACATTCTGTCGTAGTAACCCTGAGTTGCATAACCTGTCATGGATGCGGGCTGGTGCAAACTCTGCAGAGAATAGAACAATATTCAGCTTATAGAACCGACTTCCATAACAGAGAATTTTAGATGAATAAGTGTTACTACACTTGTGGTCCTTATTAAATACAGAGAATCATACCGTGTAATGCGAGTTTGAACGATAGTATTGATTCCTTGTCGCAGGTACGGTGTTAGCCTTAGAATACGAGGATGCAACTCCACTGCCAGAAACAGACCTCTGCACATCTGAGAAGTAATACCCATCATAGCTAAACCTGGGATCCTGATAACCAGCAAGAGCACTGTTTCCATACAAATAACCCGAGGTGGTGTTGAGCGCACTCTGATTCAATGGTTTAACAGGAGCTGATCCATTAGTTCCTTTAGGCATAGCAGCAGCCTTTGAAGCACCAGCAGATGGGAAATTATTTCTTTCTGCAGAGAGCGTCTTCACGTTGGCAGCTTTGTTTGTATGAATCTTGCTATGGGTAGAGGCAGGAAGAGATGAAGCGAATGGCCCACTGCTGGTAGTGAGAGGGAAGTAGGAAAGATACTGGTAGTGCTGAGGAGCAGGGCTTGTTGCTGGCGAGTAAGGATAGGCTGCATAACCATATCCCAGTGGATAAACATTCTCTCCATAGACTCCCTGGATGATTTACCCAGATGATATAAGTTAAGGAGAACAAAAAGGCTAAATGGTCTGTATATAAGAAAAGATAAAGATAACGCACGTACTGATGTCATGTCAACACTCTCGGAATTGGTATAACCTGTATATTCACTACCATAACCTGAAAGATTACACGAAAAGGTTGTGTTTTTAGATATATTGCAACAATTCAAGACTGAAGAACGTTAAAGACATGGAAATGGAGCTCTTACCTCCATAATAGTAAGGCTGATACCCATTTGGAACATAGAAAACAGAAGGGTCAAGGGCATCGCTAGGGAGCAATGGTGTGAAAGATCGATCAAAAGAAGGAACTTGGCCATTCGAATCCATAGCTCCATACTGGTAAACAGCAGCCTGCGCAGAAAAATTGTATGAGATCTCTGCTTGTTATAAACTGGAGTAAACAAATTGCAAAACAGAGAGGAAGTTTTATATATGTTACTTACCTTGTTAATTGGCTTGGGGATCTCCAAAGACAGTTTCTTCAGTAGATCGGCAGCTTCTGATAAAGCAAAACAAGTCAAGGAAACAAAAAGGTTTCTTCGCCATAGAAAAAATATGCAGCAAGTACAAACTACATGAATCGGAGAAACCGACGCGAATCGAATTAGCGAAGAGAATCCGACTTGTATCCAAACGAATCGAGAGAGTCAATAAGAGATCGGGAAAAAAGACGTTGAAAAGGATACGATCAGCAGGAGGAGCGACGGTAGACATGCGAACGGATCTGGCAGCGAAGATTGATAGATCCTTGTCAGATAATGAACAGAGAGAGAGAGAGAGAGTGACGAACCAGAAAAAAGAGTAGAGAAAAACCCTAATCCCAAATCGGAAGAAACCCAGAAGAAATCAAGGGTTTATGAGATCAAAATCGAGCAGAAAAAATAGGCTTCCGGTAATTTTGCCGCAGTCGCCAACAGAAAATGACAAAAAAACGGGTTTTTGTTCTTCGGAGAAGAGGCAAAAGGGGTTTTCTTCGTTCACGTCGATTGATTCAAATACCTCCACGACCCCCTCCTTTTCTTATTTTTTATATTGTTTTTCTTTACGAAATATCCCATAAATTAGTTAAAAAATTAAGGCATTTTGTGAAAAAAAAAAATATACAAGAGATGGTGGCAAAAACAGAATATTTCAGGAAATTGTTGTTCTTTGTCACACTACTCAGTACTCACTAGTGTCACTACTACACTAACAACTTGTTGTTCTATCTGAAAAGGGCCGAGGATTAAGGCCCAATTGAAATCGGACCAGGAAGGAGATCCAGGATCCGATTATCCATTCGGAGGTGATGAAACCAACGGCCAGGATTAACTCAAAGCTTCAAGAGCTAAGGGAACGTTAAAAGTAGGCAGTCCAAGCGAGAATAAAGAGATAAACCTACTTCCTCCTTCTTCTACTTCCTGCTTCAAGCTCCCTCTTTTTTTCTTTTCTTATCCGGAAAAAGCCCTTCCGGTGAAGAAGAACCTCCTTATTTCCTCCTCCGCTTCTTCGCTTTTCCACTTGTGTTAGTTTCTCAATCCTTACCCTTTCAATCCTCTGCATTTTCAGTGGCTCAGTTTCTGTGTGTGTCGCTCTTGTTTTGTTGGATGAGAATTTGCTGAAAGCTTTTCAAAACTCTTATTAGAAAGTCTTATTGATTCATTTCTCTAGCGATTTTGGGTATTTGTTAGATATATGGATGCGTATTTCCTTTGATTTTCAATGGTGTTCTTAGCGAGCTCTACTTTGAAATGTGTCGCCTTTCTTCTTTATTTCTTGTGAATTCTCATTGGTTTAGTCGCTTCTTTGGTTTATTGTGATAAAGTAACGAAAAAATGAGTTCTTTTATAATGTCTGAGAAATGTTATCTAATTGCTGAATTGTCTGTGTTTGAAGTGAACAATGGCATCCACTTTCACCGCAACGTCTTCCATTGGTTCAATGGTTGCTCCAAATGGTCACAAATCGGATAAGAAACTTACCAACAAGTTGTCTTCAAGCTCATTCGGAAGGAGGCAGAGTGTGTGCCCAAGACCCAGAAGATCCAATCCTGCAATTGTTTGTGCAGCCAAGGAATTGCATTTCAACAAGGACGGGACTACCATTAGGAAACTTCAAGTGAGTATCTCTCTCTTTTTCCCTCAAAATTTATCGCTTGCGCTAAAGGTCTTGCATTTTTATCTGGTTTCTTGTTGTTGTACTAGGCTGGTGTCAACAAGCTAGCGGACCTAGTCGGTGTTACACTTGGACCCAAAGGACGAAATGTTGTTCTTGAGAGCAAGTATGGATCACCAAGAATTGTTAACGATGGTGTGACTGTTGCAAGGGAGGTATGTAATTGTTACCCCCTCTATTAATGATGTTTATTTTCATTCGAACTACTTTCATGATTCTGAACCATCTCCTGTAGGTTGAGTTGGAAGACCCTGTTGAGAACATTGGTGCTAAGCTTGTGAGGCAAGCAGCTGCTAAGACCAATGACTTGGCTGGTGACGGTACCACAACATCTGTGGTTCTTGCACAAGGTTTCATTGCTGAGGGTGTCAAGGTCTGTGTAACGTTCTTCTATCAGATTTCTCTGTTGCAACTTTTTAAAACGGTAGTAGTAATCTTAAAATTTGTATTCATTTAGGTCGTGGCTGCTGGTGCGAACCCTGTATTGATCACCAGAGGCATTGAGAAGACAGCAAAGGCTTTGGTTGCCGAGCTCAAGAAAATGTCTAAGGAGGTTACAATTTATAACTCTCTTTTCTTTGAATATGTAACAAAAGTCTATAAAAAATGATTCTGAAAGTAAGTCATGTCGATGTAGGTGGAAGACAGTGAACTTGCGGATGTGGCAGCTGTTAGTGCGGGTAACAATGAAGAAATTGGAAGTATGATTGCCGAAGCGATGAGCAGAGTGGGCAGGAAGGGTGTGGTGACACTTGAGGAGGGTAAAAGTGCCGAGAACGCACTCTACGTTGTGGAAGGAATGCAGTTTGATCGCGGTTATATCTCCCCTTACTTTGTGACAGACAGCGAGAAAATGTCAGTTGAGTTCGACAATTGCAAGGTAACTGTTCACTGATTCTGAGCTCACTGCGTCAAAGTGTTGCAACCGGATGGATGTTCTAATGTATTGTGTGTGACTGCAGTTGCTTCTTGTTGACAAGAAAATTACCAATGCAAGAGATCTTGTTGGTGTTCTGGAGGATGCTATTAGAGGAGGATACCCAATTTTGATAATTGCAGAAGACATTGAGCAGGAGGCTTTAGCGACTCTTGTTGTTAACAAGCTTAGAGGCACACTGAAGATTGCAGCCCTCAGAGCTCCAGGATTTGGAGAGCGCAAGAGTCAATACCTTGACGATATCGCCATTCTAACTGGAGGTAAGTTCTGTGTTCATTTCTGATCCCTGTGTTTTAGCACAGTCTTTGTGGTTTTAATCCTGTGCTATTTTTCTATCTGCGTTTGCAGCAACTGTGATCCGAGAGGAGGTTGGTCTTTCACTTGACAAAGCTGGAAAAGAGGTTTTGGGTAATGCCGCAAAGGTCGTCCTCACGAAGGAGACTTCGACCATTGTGGGTGATGGGAGCACACAGGACGCTGTGCAAAAGCGTGTTACACAGATTAAGAATCTTATTGAGGTATTACTAAGAGTAGAGCAAGTATGAGATCTCTATTTACTTTTTTGTTGATTAGCGTACTTACATTAATGTGGTATTTGGTTTGTGCAGCAAGCGGAGCAAGATTATGAGAAGGAAAAACTGAATGAGAGAATCGCAAAGCTCTCTGGTGGAGTTGCTGTGATTCAGGTTAATTACAAACCCCATTGGTACCCTTTGTCTGATTCAAAGTATGTTCCAGAGATATTAATCAAATCTCTTTTCTATTGGTTAAAAGGTTGGCGCACAAACTGAGACAGAACTCAAAGAGAAGAAGCTGAGAGTTGAAGATGCTCTTAATGCTACAAAGGTTAGTTGTTTCTCTGAAGCTTTTAAAAAAAAGTGTGCGATATGTGTACTCGTGAACTATATCTGATCAGGATTTCAAATCTTCAGGCCGCAGTGGAGGAAGGTATTGTCGTTGGTGGTGGTTGCACTCTGCTTCGGCTTGCTTCTAAGGTTGATGCCATCAAAGCCAGCCTTACAAATGATGAAGAGAAGGTAAAATGATCAAGCCTTGAGTTTCTAACTCGTAAACCTTCCTTGAGGTCTTGTAAATTATCTGATTCCCTTGCTTCAGGTTGGAGCGGATATCGTGAAAAGAGCACTGAGTTACCCTCTGAAACTGATTGCCAAGAATGCCGGAGTCAATGGAAGCGTTGTTAGCGAGAAGGTAGTTTAACACAAAACCTCCACACACTTTTGTGCTATTGATTTGAATCAGATGTTTCAAGAGCTGTCTTTGTCATTCATTTGCAGGTGCTTTCTAACGATAACGTGAAATTCGGTTACAATGCTGCAACCGGCAAGTACGAGGATTTAATGGCTGCAGGAATCATTGATCCAACAAAGGTCAGTTCTTTATTTATTGCGTACATAATCTGTCTTCGCTTGCTAAATTGGTGGTCAAAGATCCATGAACCTGAGTGTGCTTGATTAATCTCGATTTAGGTTGTGAGATGTTGCTTGGAACACGCAGCTTCAGTTGCAAAGACATTCTTGATGTCAGACTGTGTTGTTGTTGAGATCAAGGAACCTGAGCCAGTTCCCGCAGGCAACCCAATGGACAACTCAGGTTTGTTCAGACATACATTCAGATACTTTAAATCTCCGGTGAAGAAGATTCACCAAATACATGTCTCATCACTGGTTCTGATTTACATCTCTTGTTTCAGGATATGGATACTGAGGAGATATGGGAATATTCCGACGAAAGTAACTCGGTGGAAAGTGATTCCTTTTAGCTTGCAATAGATGAGCGCGAGTGTAATGATTTTGTACAAGAGAATGTGCCGTGTGAACTGAAATTTTGAATATTTAATCATATGAATAATAATAAAATCCTGATTTCCTTTTACCTTATAGTCGACAACTAACGCATGCATATTACCGGATTTGAGCTCAGTCAGACCGAATTTTAATTGAAAGATGCTAACTTTTGCAAATTTTATATCCATTTCATATGAAAAGAATTGTATATTGACTGAAAATGCTAAAGACAAGATTCACAGGTAAAAAGAACAACTTTGCGATTGGATACAGTTCCTCTCAAGTATATAGCCATGAAGAGAAGTGAAGCTATGAACAGATCACATCAAGGTGAACTATTTCTTGTTAAAGCCAAACAAGGATTTGATGGCGTTAATGGCACCCTCGTTGATGAATGATTCATCGAATTGCTTCATGAGTGGATCAAAATCCTCCGACTTCCTGATGTTTTCCAGATCCGGATCGCTTCGGATTCTCTAAAAACAAAAACAATTGCTCAGCTTCAACAAGCACCACAACCATCATCTCTCAATTGAACATCAAGAAGAAAGTCACTGAAATTACCTTGAAATCTTCATACCCTGACTTCAATGCTTCTTCTAAAGCCGAGAGACCAGCTTGAACCTATCAAAAACAAAACTCTTATCAGCTCTGCAAGTCAAGATGCAATTATCTGAAAGCTTCTTTACCTGATTAAGCTTTGAGTAGCAACAAGCAACATTGTAACTCGCAACTGATGCTTCATCTGGTGTTGGTTTAGAGCCTAACACAGACTCAAATCTCTCCAATGCTTCCTCATATTTACCATTCCTACATCAATTCGAGAGACAAAGTCAATACTTTGCTTTCCGGTTTGGCAAACTCACTTGAGGAATTTACTTGGAAAACTGAAGCCCTTCACGAAGATCCTTCTCCCGTTGAGCTTTCAGTTCTTTTTTCCTCAAATAGTTTTGCATCTACCCACATTTACACAAGAGACAATACATCACTTTTGGTGTTAACATAAACAATACTTTTAAAAGAAGATTTTTTTAAAGAGGAATTCACCTGAATTTCCCTCAATCTACTGCTGATGTATCCAGCATTTCTCTCGGCTCTTATTATCTCTTTCTCTGTTAACTCACCAGAATCATCCACTTTACCTGCAAGATAAGAAGACACAACACAAGTTTTGTAGAGAGAATAGATAAACACGAAACGCAGAGCTGTGATTGGGGAATTTCAACAAACCATATCGCTTCTCCATTTGCATAAGCAACGGACCAATCCTCTGACGGATTGTGTACATTGTCCTACCGTACTCTGCTGCAGGCCAAATCTCTGTCCCAAACACTGCACTGCACACTCAATTCCAAGGTCCTATAGTTACATACACCACATATGCACGACAGACACAACGGCAAAATTCTCAAGATTCCACTCAAAGTTTAGCTCTCAGTTAATTCTCAGTCTGATCATCAATTTCAAGGTCTTATAATTACATACAGAGCAGTTTATTCAGATTCCAGCCGATTATTTCACAATCTCTCGGAGAAAGAACAAACCTTGTGGCGATAACTCTGTCGCCGACGGTGAATTTTCCGGTTTTGTCGGCAAATCCACCGGGCAAGATAGCGTCAATGTAAGTCCCACCATCTCTTCCTTTCCTGAATTTCAGACCATAAGGCTGCTCTACCTCCACTTCATATGTTTCATACTTCTCTTCTTCTTCTCCCCCAGCATCGGCTTTAGCTGACGACTCAGCCTCTGACGCCTTCAAAGCCAAATTCCGGCGTTTTGCCAAATGGGTATTGCATAAAGAAGTCGAATTGCTCGAAAGGAAGAGACTTTTCGAGGAAATGGTGCTGGGTTGAGTGATCAAACTAGGGTTTTGCTTGGTTTGCTGAGTTCTTGGCAGCGAAGGCGAAGAATACAGAGAAGGATAACTACTCGGAGCTAAAGACATGGTGGATTCTTTTCTTTCGGTTCGAGGTCAGACACAAGCCAAAGAGACAGAGGATTAGTTGGCTTTTTTGCCATAGGTGCTTTGGATTACAAGCTTGCATGATTTAGTGGCTATGCTTCAGTCTTGGTGTTTCGCCACGTGTCATCTTGTAATGGAGCAGATGCTTGATCCTTTTTCTTCCTCCAATACATAAATTCGCATCTCCCTCACTTGGATTCGTTTATTACAACATTCAATCGCGTTTTGACTCTAAAAATGACCATTTCTGCAACAAGACAAGGTCAACCGATTCCTTACAGGCCTTTTAATTCAAGACAATCTCTAAAGAAACAATCTTTCTGGCACAACTTGCAGATAGCATTGCAGAGTTTAAACTCATACTGAGATCCAATTCAGAATGTATTTACTTGTTGCTCTTGAACTTGTCTAACAAATTGAGCGTTGACACATTCCTGAGTTGGACAAAAACAGATTCTCTGGACAAGACAAGATCTATTCACATTCTTTGTTTTGGAAGAAACCTAAACAGAAGTTGATGTTTTGCATCCAAATATGAGTTACTCAACCAAACCTGACAACATTTGATTCGAGCCTGATCGCAAATGAGTAGGAAACTTGGTGCTAAAACAACAGTACACAGAAAGTCTTATTATGAAGGTAAAAGGCTGCGTCCGATTAAAGCATGTCACGTAGACATTGATCCACATAGTGATGTTAAAGTGACATGAACTAAATCGCAAAAGTAGAGATACTATTGATGCAAATAGTAGTGACTGTTAAATCTATAACTTGTCAAGAATCTGAATGAGAAAAAACCTTTCATTGAATGGATGAAAAAAGGAATGATCTATACTCTTTTTTTAAAACATTTCTAAAGAAGAAGTAAAAGAATGCTTCCGTGTTGAGTCAGGATTCATCATATGACTACAATCGAGCAATACAACACAAATACAGATTCTATATGTACCTCCATGTACATGGACTTTTCATGCTGAAGCTACCAGCTTTGTCATTTGCCTTTAGATCTTCCATTAAACCTAAAATGAACTGAATCACAGGATAACACAGACGCAGGTTTTTCCCCTGTCAGAGTCAATATCATCTTCTTCACTGCAAGAAAATGAGATAATCACATCATTCCAATATCCATCAAACATATTCACCATCACTAAGAAACCTAAATTTGAGAATCCCAATTTCAACAAAACAGGACAGCAAACAGAAGAAGACCAACCTGGGTTCGAATTCTCGAATCTCAGCAAGCTCTTTAATCCCTAGCAAATCCACCCACTGTACCTTCTTCTTCGTCTTCTCAGCTTCTGTAGAATTCGAATCCACCTTTCTGAGACTAGTTTTCAGAGGGAGAGTATCTCCAACAACTTCACCTTCGTCTTCCTTAGCATCCACTATAGTATCTTCTTCTTCTTCTTCTATAAGCTCGCCATTCCTATGACCATCCACATGATGAACAAGCTCTTGATGCGCATCATCATCATCAGTGGCTGAAAACAAGAGAGACTTGTGAGAGGGTATTCTCCAACTTGAGCGAACTTGCCGCGTAAATGTGAGAGAAAGGGATTACAGAAACAGAATAAAAGGCAATGGATCTTACCAAGCAAAACACTCATCAAAACATGAATTGGGCCTTTGAAACAGCTGATCATCAATGGAGAAATCTCTTACACCTCTTTATCCGATATAGCCCATTTGCCCAGATGGAACAAAGCCACGAACTTTGAGCGAGACGATTAACTTAATTTCTCGATTTGGAATAAAACGAAAGCAGATAAACCCAGAAATAGGGTTTCGAAGAATAACCTATTAAGAGAATCGTCGAACCATAAATTTCCGCTGATTTATGAGGAAACGGGCAAAGACAAAGCAATGCTAATGCTAATTGAAAAAAAGTAGAGATTCACTTTGAGAACAATCAAAGACGAAAAAGCAAAGATTAGAGAAGATAAAGGAATTTGAAAAGGCGGATACTTTTCTGATCTGAGAGGGACAGAGAAAGAGAGAGAGATACTGCGAATTTTAAAAAGAGACCTCCTTTGATGATTTTCCCTGAGAATAAGGAAATAGAAGAGGAAGAAGAAAGATCAAGTCGTGGACTTGTAGACTCGTAGTGTTGTTAATATTCCCCCTTTTTTCTGTTAATTTATTGGATCTGTTATTACGGATTGTCAAGAACCAATCAAAAGTTTTTTATACAGTGAAGAGTGGACCAACTGGGAAAAAAAAAAATAAAGGTTGCTTTTTCATTGCCTCCAGATGGAATGTTTTTCAAGACTTGTGGATAATTTGCCTCTTGCCCAATTTATATATTTGGGTAAATTGCCCTTTTTAGTTCAGAATATTTAATTACGAGCTTACACTTAGAACGACAATATAACTCAAAAAGTGATTACATTTCACGTATAACGAAAATATACAGATTAATACTGTTCGTGCCCATTGCCGATGATAAAGAGTTGGTCTTGCTTTTACAATTCAGAGTTACTTTTGCAAGGACTAAATCGTATTTAATGCATCGTATATTTGTATACCTAGAGTTACAATATGTACAGTAATATCTTGGATATACATTATGTGTATTATTTCATGCCATTTCATCTCAAAATTCAAGCGTCTCAAAGATGCTACAGTAGTCACACACATAAAACAAGACTTTCTACAAGCCCCATTGAGTAAACCAATGACAAACTAAGACATTCGAGTCAAGAACATGTCTGAAACAGAATCATCTACTGTGCCTTGATCATGAGGCTATCCATCAGGAATCACAATGCATCAAACCCATCATAATCTAACCCTCGTTCGCCACAAAGATTAGACTGGCCAGAAGAGAATGAAATGAAACCAAAAAGCCAGAATCTTTTTAGCACTTTGTTCTGAGACTCACACTCGCAGAAAAAAGAAAATACAGGGCACCGTAAGAACCTGATATGATCAAGAGATGTAAACAAACTAAGCAAGTTTGCATATGTCTTCATACTCAATGGACTTTATGACTCTTCCATCATAGACACCTTTCTCGATCTGCACTTTAGCACAGAACTTGTCTGTATCTACACCCAACAACTTGGCATTTGAGCCACGGTATGCCCCATTCACTATCTTCACCAACCCTCCAATCTGTGGAAGCACCGTCTCAAGCTCCTCCTGATCAACTCTCAGTACATGCTTAGAATCAAGCATTTCGATCTCCCCAACATACTTATCAATCACTTTCTTCACAACACCTTTCTGCTTATAATACCCTTTCTCTGCCAAAGCCTTACTCATAACTTTCACAACTATCCCTTGCGTCAACCAGTAATCTTTACGATTCATCCTCTCCTTCTTCTTCTCTTCCTCTTTCATCAACTCGTCCAAAGCCGATCTTCTCTCCTTCTCACTCCTCCCCGAGTCACCGTCTTTTTTCCTCTTCTCCCCTCTCTCATGCTTCTCGTTGTCTTCGTCCTCATCAAACACGCGTTTCGAGCTCTCCACTCTCTCTTTACCCGTAGTAACCTGTTTAGTCCCTCCACCAAGAGCAAATCCAACTTTAACTCCACCACTCTTCAACCTCAATTCTTCACCTTTCTTCTTCTCATCATCACCATCATCATCCTGGACAGTTTCTTTACCACTACCTTCACCTTCACCAGAGCTATGCCCACCAGCGTTCAATTTCTCAGCAGCTCTCTCGATCTGTTTCTGAATCTCCCTCTCCTGTTTCTCCTCCTCGGCTATATCACTCTTCACTCTCTTGTTCTTCAGCCTCTCTTTAAACAAAGTCTCCGAATCCCTATCGATGTAAGTAATGAACCAGCCTTTAGGGGTTTCCTCGACTTTGCACTTACCCGTCTTCCCCAAGTACTTGACGAACTCCGTCAACGTCGCCCACTCGGTGGAATTCATGTGAACGTGGTGCCTGTCGTTGATGTACTCGTTGTAGACGACGGTGGCGGCGATACGAGAGAAACGGTGGCTCCGCCGCATCAGGTCGAGGAACATCTGCTCGAACTCCTCCGAGTAACCCTCGACGACGCGAGTCGGATTCTGCCCGAAAACCTGCATCTGCCTCTGGTGAGACTCGCTCATACAATGGCACTTGAACCCATTCTCGTCCCGGCACTGCTTCTGACACATCTGGCAGTACCACCGGAGCTTCTGGAGACCCTTGGCCTTCATCCGATTCGCCATCGCCTTCGGGGTCAGAAAATCGTTCTTGCCCATCGTTTCTCCTCGAACAAATCACGTTCTTGGGATTCAAATCTAGGGTTTCCGGTAACAAACCCCACCGATCAATTCGAGTGTTGAAGATTCCTCAAACAATCGAGTTTCCTCGTCGAAAAATCGAAAGAGGCGGATTGATTGAGATTTTCTAAGGTCGGGGATAAAGCAAAACTCTGATCAAATAACTTTGTTCTTGCTAATAAAGATTTAAGGGCCCAAACTTACTATGTGGGCCTAGAGTAAATTTTCATGGCCCAGCTTATTATATGCCTACGTTGCAAATGATATTAAATTAATTTTTTTAGGAAATACTAGGTGGTAGGTACTCAAGATATTATTTTTGTACCAATCATGAGTCTTGAAACTTAAGAAAAGTCAACTGAATACAATCGATTGTATAAAATAAAGAAATAAAAAATATATATTCAAATGATTGAGAGAACATTGAATTGAGAGAGAACATTGAATTGCTTGGGTTAAATAAGAAGAAGACTCGTCGCCGTATCTGACTTTGTCAAAATTGACTTGGTTCCATTCTTCTCATTTGTGCAGAAGCAGGCACAAATATATAAAGATGAGTGTCAATGCTCAAAAGTTAATACAGAGAGAGATACTAATAAGCAAGAGTAGAATAAGAAAACAGAGAGAGAAGCAACAAAAATGGCAGCTTTGTCTGATAAACTAGCCGATGCTTACCAGAACGCAAGGCCGAGATATCCAATCGACTGGTTCACGAAGCTTGCTGCTCGAACCGGTCAGCACAAACTGGCTTGGGATGTCGGTACTGGCAACGGTCAAGCCTCCATTGGTGTAAGCTTCTTCCATCTTCTTCCTACAGAAAGTTTCCATTTTTCTTTCTTTCACTAGATCCTTAAAATGACAAAACTAGGGATTTTTTAAACCATCTGAAACATCATTCATTTTAATTACAGCTCGCAGAGTATTTTGAGAAAGTTGTGGCCACGGACATAAACGAAGCACAACTGAAACGAGCGGTGAAACACGTAAGAATCAGTTACCATCACACTCCGACAACGATGTCGGAAGACCAGATGGTTGCTCTAGTCGGAGGAGATAACTCCGTCGATCTCATCGTCGCTGCGCAAGCCGTTCACTACTTCGACCTCACACCGTTCTACAACATAGCCAAACGCGTTCTTCGCAAAGAAGGAGGGCTAATCGCAGTTTGGGTCTACAACGACCTAGTCATCTCCCCTGAGGTCGACGCCATCATGAAACGTCTCGTGGATTCCACGTTTCCGTTTAGAACTCCCGTCATGAATCTTGCCTTCGACAGCTACAAAACGCTGCCGTTTCCGTTCGAAGGCGTTAATGGGATGGGATGTGAAGGAAAGCCTATAACACTCGACATCCCTCACAAGCTTTCGCTTAAAGGGTTTATAGGGTTCTTGCGATCTTGGCAGCCCGCAATGAAAGCTAAAGAACGAGGCGTTGAGCTTGTGACTGAAGATCTGATCAGTAAGTTTGAAGAAGCTTGGGGTGATGATGATGATGTCAAGGATATCTTCTACAAAGCTCATATGATTGTTGGAAAAATTTCGGTAAATGATATTCATTTACTACTTTTTTACTAAATACTTCATAGTTTGTTTATTTATTATGATCTCAATCATTTATTTGTCTAATGCAGGCTTCAGATATAGAGCGGCATCGAAAGAGATTTGAATCCAACTGTGTGGTGACGAAACTCAAGGATAGTAACAACTCAGCTGTTATTGCTTCAGGTTTGTGTGTGTTTTTAAATATTTCACCATTGTTTATCTCCAAATCAAACGATTTCAATCTGATTAACTGAAATGTCTTTGTGTTGATAAATTATAGTGACTGCTGCTGCGTTTGCTGGAGTGGCGGCATACTGTGCCTACTCTGCGAGGAAGAACACTTAGATCTATACATCTTTCTGATGGACAAGAACCGTTTTTCTGAATCTGTTTAAAGCATCGAGAATGTTGTCATGTATTTATCTGTATGTCATTAAAATGAAATGGTTATGTGTTATACAATAAAGAAATATTTAGATGCTACAAGAAACACGAAAAACTAAACATATGAAAACACACACAATAAGCAGAGCATGATGCAACAGAGGTTGAAAAGGAATGTGATGAATATTCAAGTCTCCAAGTGCATCACGCTCTCACTCTGATCCATAAACATTAAGTCAAAACGTCTGTCCGCTTTGTCTTTACGTAACCAGTGGTCCAGTAAGTTCTTGATTTCAATCCTTCTCATCTCATTGCTCTGCAGATCATAACAGAGGATGTGAAAGGAAGAAACCAAATCACGTGGTATCAACAAAACCTTGCCACTTTGAGTTGTATCTTTGACATTGAACTCAGTGTTATTGACCAAATGCAGCTGACAAGGCTGCAAAACCAGAGTCTTGCAGGATCATGCCTTGTCTTGCACGTCCCATAAATCAAGCATGCCCTTGTCTCTAAGATTGGTATGGTCAAGGAGAGTTGCTTTTCGGCCATACTCTATAAGAGTCAAATACGTGAACCTTCCAAGGAGGATCAGGTCACGCGAGGTTTAGAATATGACTCGGGATTCTAAATATCTGTATTGTGCCACTAGTACACATGTTCACTTTTATATATGTAGTATGTAGTACCTTGGCAACCAAGTCAACTTTGATCTTGTTGGCTTCTCTTTCTCTTAGGATTATTTTTTCGCAGGTTTAAGTTTTGTTTTTGGCACGGGGCTGGCTTTATCGTTTGCCAAGCCCATGAAGATGCCAAGTCATGTGAAGTTGGTTGTGCCATGGTTCTCTTAATCTTACAGTGTAAATTAACTTACAAATCAGTTCATGAACAAAACCCTTTAAGAATTAGGATTGTGAAGATGCAAGACACCTCTCCAGACAGAACCAGGTTCCAAAGAGAGTGGTTTTAGCAATGAAGACGGTCCGATACAGACATAAGCAGACTTTGTGTAACTCTCAAGCTTCGAACCAGGGCTGTACATATACACTTCTTCAAACCCTTCTCTTCCCACTACCACTGAGTTCCTTCTCCCCTGAAGAGACCAATCACCATTTCATTAAATCCACAAAAATACTATAACTTAACTGGATTGAAATTATGGAAGACAGGATAATGTTATTTATATATTACCCTGTCGATAACAGTGAAGCTCCTTGGAGCACACGTGTAAATCCTGCTCATCTCTTCATTCAACTGTTTGTAATTGCTCTCTTCTTCCCCACAAAACCCTGATTCATCTTCATCTTCTTCTTCCTCGTCTTGAACCACACCGAAACGAGGAAGAAACGGCTTTGTTTCCACAAAATCTGAACCTTCCAAACCAACTGCATATGTAGCTTCTGGTGTACTCACTGTCAAATAACTCACAAGTGAACAACCTTCAAGTCTGATTGGTGAAATCCCATTGTTCGTCACGCAAAGCTCAACGCTCAGTGTATCTCCTCTCAGAGTTACAATCTGTTTCATTTCAACCTCCTTGTCACTTCTTCTCAATTCCACTTGAACACTATCCTTTGAATCTCCGGTGATCCCATGGAGTCTCCATTCATTGATGCCATCAGAATCTGATGACCTAAATGCAGATGAAACACCTCCTCTTATCACAACTTCTTCTTCTTCTTCTTCTTCTTCTTCTTCTTGTTCCACCCATGTGTGGAGAAGCTCCACTTTACCTCCGTGCCACACTTTGACTTTGTACGATGTCACCATGCCACATTTCAGCATCACATTGGCCGAACTTCCATTATCCAATTTCAATTTGGCAATACATGTCTCACCTTAATAATCACATCATAGTTTTGTAAGCTTTTCGTATTCTTTCTGATGAAGAAAACCAAAAACTAGAGAAATAATATATATATATATATATATATATACCGATATCCTCGAAAGTGGCTCCATGGCCAGAAAACTCTCGCCGGAGATACTCAACGTCGAGTGGAAAGTAAGGGAACGACGCCGCCGATGAAGCTGATGGTGGAACAGAGACAGATTCTAGTCTCTTGACATTTTTATTGAAATGAAGTGGCAAAGAAGCGAAAGTTGAGCTCAGAAGAAGCTTTGAAGATCTACTCAAAGCAAGAGTGCCATGTGAAACAATCGTGGAATGAGGCAGAGCCATTGTTACGGCTCTGCAAATGCTTCAGCCAAAGTTCACAATGGCCTTATCTTCTTTCTCCTTCATTACTGAATAGAAGACGAATAACGGGTTGGGCTTAAAATCGGACACAAAACCCAAAAGGAACTAAATTTGGGCTTTAGAATCGTAAAATCAAAATTGGGTTGAGATTTTTTGTTCTTTTTGCTTAAAGGTTCCAACTTTCGAATGATTACTGTTAAAGATCATAACTTTGTAGAAGACAATAGAAACGCTCAACTTGCGAAAGGAACATTAACAACGCACGAAACGTTCCAAGACGAAAGTCAAATCGACGACCACCGAATTGTCGTAAACAATCAAAAAGCCATCGCCCAATTCAACGCAGCCCGAGAGAGAGAGATTGGAGCTAATGGTGTTCAACAGTGCGGCGGTTGTGGCGGTGGCCGACGTCTCCACCGAGACGTGGCAGCTGATCTGGAGGATTCCGCCGTCGCAGAGGATCGATACCCAACAGCTTATGGACATGGCGGTTTGCTACCCGATGTATCAGTTGAGTCGTTTCGTTCTCTGTTTATGGACTTTTATGTGTCTCCCTTCTTCTGATTCCTTCTACTCCTACACCTACGACGAGACCCAATCTGCTTCTTCTTCTTCTTCATCCGACGCTGCTGATGATGATGATCGGCTCGCTTTTGATCATAATCTCTATAACCATCGTGATTACTCTGATTCCGACGATGATCTTTCTTCTTCTTCGTTCGATGACTATTACAGTCACTACTCCCATTCAGATTGACTTTTGCTGACTTTCTCTATGAAGCTTTTCTGAGCTTGTTGATTAGGCAATTCCCCTGTTTGTTCAAAGTTACCATCTTTTGAGACGCTGTAAATGATTACGCTCTGATATTTAATAACACAAAGGACATATTATACAAATCAATAAACTTTTCAATTCCAATACTTATTGTTTCAGTACTTTGATGTTGTTCTTTGAAGCAAAGGCTGCGTTCTTGCCATGTTGATTGTGATCTTTAGTAGATTGATTATTTTCAAAAAGGTGATTGATATTTTAACATATAGTGTTGTTGATTCTCATTTCCCAATGACACCAGAAAGCTGATCGTTTAAGACACTGATGATTGGTATCATAAATCCAATCACTTGCGTGGTTCCAGGGAAGTATATATCCATTGTTGTATCTCAGTTCTCAAGTGATCGACAGATAACGGGAAGAAGAAACAGTATAGTATTTGTCATCAGGTGAAAACAATCTTCCAAATAATCATAAAATCTGTCTGGAAAGACAAATCTACAGTTGTTTACTGTTTAACAAACATGTCAAGAGTTAAGACTTTCCAAAAGTTGGATACTTCATATAGATTCAAGAGACACCGTTGTTCTGAATCGGATCAAAGTTTCAGATGCAGTTTACAAACGCAGCAAATCATTCTCTCTCTCTCTCTCTCTCGAGTAAACAAACATCTCAGCTTCTGGTTTCCTGAAACGTTAAGGCTGGCAATGTCATCATCTATATGGGCCAGTCTGGGTCAGTTGATTGTGTTTAGATTTTGGCCCAATATGTATGTAACAAAAATTGAAACTTTTTGAAACTAGAGTCAGAGCATGATGAAGGATGTCTGTCCAGATATAAACCCATATTTGCATCTTCTATTTTTCAATATGTTTAAATATTTGTGTGAACTGTCAAATATAAAATGTACTATATAATAATCACATTGCATGTCATGACTTTTAGTGTGAAACAACAAAAGGATGAACACATATGATTGACATTTTGCGTCAAGGATAGTAACAAGTCAAAATTGGATTCAAAAGTTTCATCTCTTGCATTAGTGTCTGTGATTTCACCAGGAAAAAGAAGAAGAAACAACAAAACTGAGAAAAAAAGAGAAAAAGAAAAGTCACATGTCTCAACACATCTTTCCCTGAAGACAAACGCTTACATCCATCCACATGATCATGTCCAATCATGTCACACACACACACATCTCTACTGCGTCTATACATGTAGAAATTCATATATATATATATATACATATGACCATCCATTCATTTCTATGGAATTTGTGCTTGGTATAAAAAGCACAAATCATGACACTTTGTAACCATTTTTTCCCCCATCATTTCATCAAATGTTTCCATTTTTGCATAAAATTGTTAATAGATGTATAAAAGAGGATCTAAAGTTGATAAAGTTTGCATTATGAACGCAATAATGGAATGGTATAAGAAAAAAAAAATGGTAGAAAAAAGCTTGTGGTTCCACCTCCTTTCTTGTGCATGCATTAATCAAAAGAATCTTTTAAAAAATTACTCCTTTTTCATCATATCCTATTAGTCTACTACATTCAAGTAGAAAAGAATAACTTATTTAGCTGTTACATTATATAACTAATGTAATTGCTTACATGTGAAACCAATATAATCTCATTGCATGACGTCAAGGCGCCATGTGATGGCATCATGGCAAAAATATGCATTATATAGACTTAGACATACGTGTTTGTGGTTTCGTGACCTTGCAGCGATAATCGATGACACTGCTCACTCCTGTTTTTGGACTTACGCTCAAGTGGCCAGAAGCTACAACATAAGAAAATGTACAGTTTTAAATTGAATAGCCACTCAAAATAAATAAATGAAAAAGACAAGTTTTGGGTGGCTACCTAATGGAACTTTGTCCATATCATATCCAATGATACCCTTTTATTGGAGTATTTTTTTTTTAAATATTTATTTTTGTTCATCTTTTTATAATTCAATGTATTGTCTCAAATCTCAACCATTGCATTTGGTGAATCGCTAAGAAACCAATCACCGACAACAAATCAATCACTCTTATTCATGTGTTGGTCTAGATTTATGGGTCACTAGTAAAAATCTAGACCCGATTATTAGTAAACCGAGATCAAACAAAAATATTAATAGAAATTTTGCATAAGAAACATTGGATCTTGGTTAACGAGAGACATAAAGTTTTAATGTCTTCCTTTTTTTTACTGAGTATGAAAATTTAACTTTTCGATTGCAATTATATCTTTTCCTCGCATCGGATTCCATTAGTATTATTATTTTGACCGTTGGCTACACAATTTTTACCTCTTTCCCATTTTACCCCTCTCCTTGATCTGTGCGTTAGTCATGGGCTCACGGGCGTGACATACGCGTACGGTGTGCGATGCAACTTCTCGCACGTGTGGCATCTAGTTACAACACGTGTGATCTCTACTGGTAAGCTTTTCAGTTTAATGGCAGTGACTGATCCTCACTCGCAGCTGATGGTAGTTAACGGCGTTAATAACGGTAGGTGCTCATTGTGTTTGGAAATTACAATAGTAGCCTTATGTAAAAAAAAATCTTGCAACAACACTTCTTCTCTTCTAGATATTTATAGACATTTTCTTCTCAATTATCATCAATCTTGTAAATTTCCATCTCCGTACACAAAGCTGAAACAATCCCAAATCATAAATGTTAAAATGTATGTTTTCTTACGGAAATATTTACCCTAATTATGGGCATGCAAGTTAAAAATAAATAAATTATGGGCGTTCCTTTGACCAGTCGTCAACGTTAAAATATTTTATTACGAATTAATAAAACAAATACTACTCATTTGGCAGTACAAATATTTTGTTTTCATTATATCAAAAACCGTGTGGATGTGTGATGCTTTTGTAATTTATCTAACCTTTTCTTACTTTTCACATTGTTTTTTATGGTTAATCACTTTCACCGTTGACGAATATTGAGGTGATTTCGTAAATTACTAATTATCGGTCGTGTAAAACAAAGTAATTATAGAAAAATACGTAATAATGCAGAGCAACATGCGAACAGGATTAGAGCATAAGAATCTTTGTCTTAGTGATAAGTGATAACATTGAATTTTGAAATTTAGCATTATATTATTGTTAAACCGTGGATGAAACGCCAAGCTGGCTCTGATCATTTTCTGACCATTGCACATTGTCTTCTTTAACATTCAAAATTATATTCTTGAACTTTCCACCAGATTCTTTTACTCTTACCATTTTACTAAACAGATTCAAATTCCTTTTTTTTTAATTTCCCATTATAGGGAAACTCGGTTCCTGTCATTCTCAGTATCTAATGTCTATAATCAATTTTTTGTAAAATATTCTTATGCGAAATACTTTTAATATTTTAAATAAAACGATTAGGAAAAGGCACAATATTCGCCGAAAAGGGAATAAAGAATACATTTTATTGTGAATAATTATAGAGAGAAGGGTAAAAAGAAAAGTCATTAAAAAAATTAGGATATGGAGAGGGGAAAGTGAAGTGATAAGAGAGAGAAAGTGGAAGCTCTGTGTAAGTGTAGAGAGAGAGAGAGAGAGAGAGAGAGAGAGAGAGAAGTAGGAAAGTTTTGATTTTGATCTGTGTGGTTGGATTTATGCGAGAAGGAAACTAGACCCACCTCCTAAAGACTTGCATTATCTATCATTCAGCTCTTTAAGCATTTCTTCTCGTTAGGGTTTCTCTCTTCTTTCTTAGTTTTTTTGGGGATTTTGAAGCTCAGTTTTGTATAATTTGACGAAAGCGAGAGTTTTTAAGTTTGTTTTTTTTTCTGGCGACAATGGGAGTGGGGCATCTTAGCACGGAGAAGTTTGCTAGAGGTTTCTTAGTGTGTTTATGGCTATGGTGTTTCTTCTCGCTATCCTACGCCGCAAGGACAGGCGCATCGAAGCAGAAGTTCGAAGTGAAGAAACACTTAAACAGGTTGAACAAACCTCCTGTCAAGAGCATTCAGGTTGAGCAAATCTATCTTCTACTTTAGTATTTTTGGGTTTTTCTATTTGGATTGATTTTGGTAGGCAAAGGAGAGATTTTTTTTGGAAACATTATCATAATCTGATGATTCTTGGTTTCTCTCTCCTCTACTACACATGATGATTCGTTTTACTTTTATTTTATTTTATTTCTTTGTTCTAATTGAACAATGAGTAAACTTTGTCTCGAGATTTTCTTATAAAGTTATTGTCATAATTACAGTTAAAAATGCTACTCAAAATTGAGTTTTTTGGTATTAACAAGAAGTGGTTCTGACGAAAGTTTCTTACTTGAATGTGATTAAACAGAGCCCAGATGGTGATATGATTGACTGTATTCCTATCACAAAGCAGCCAGCTTTTGATCATCCTTTCCTCAAAGACCACAAGATTCAGGTCCAGAGAACAAAACAAACTCACTTTAGATTTCTTTGGCTTTGTGTGTTTTCTGTTCTAAGTGCTAATGTTTCATTTACTTTGGGTGTCTCCAGATGAAGCCTAATTACCATCCTGAAGGACTCTTTGACGACAACAAAGTGTCTACTAAATCAAAAGACAAGGAAATGCATATCCCTCAGTTGTGGCATAAATACGGTAAATGCCCTGAAGGAACTATTCCGATGAGGAGGACAAAGGAAGATGATGTCTTGAGAGCAAGTTCGGTTAAAAGATATGGCAAGAAGAAGCGTAGAACTGTCCCTTTACCCAAATCTGCAGAACCTGACCTCATCAACCAAAGTGGCCACCAGGTGAGTCAATTGTTGTCGCCATGTAAAAGTTTCATTTTTGTTAGTAACTTGATTTGATTTTGATGTGTGTTTTAACGTTTTGTGTGGTTTCTTGAATTGTAGCATGCTATAGCTTATGTGGAAGGAGATAAGTACTATGGAGCTAAGGCAACTATAAATGTGTGGGAGCCAAAGATACAGCAGCAGAATGAGTTCAGTTTGTCACAGATATGGCTTCTTGGTGGCTCATTCGGACAAGATCTTAACAGCATCGAAGCTGGTTGGCAGGTACGCCATTGTGTTCTCATCACTTAACGAAAATGTGACAAATATGATTTGTGTTTCATGTTTAGCATATTGATATTTTTGTTGTTTCACTACAGGTGAGCCCGGATCTATACGGTGATAATAACACAAGACTCTTCACTTACTGGACTGTAAGTTCCTGAAATCAATATCGAAATCCTCTGCTCATGTCACATTTGCCTCCTGCTGTCGCTTTTTCTTATGATGGCACTCTATTTGCAGAGTGATGCGTATCAAGCTACTGGCTGCTACAATCTTCTGTGTTCGGGTTTTATTCAAATCAACAGCGACATAGCAATGGGAGCAAGCATCTCTCCAGTCTCTGGATATCGTAACTCGCAGTACGATATCAGCATTCTTATCTGGAAGGTATGTTTAAGCTAATAAGCCATAAAGAGAATTGTTAAAGTTTTTAATGCAATCCAAAAGACAAGAAAGTTGAAATCTTTCTCGTATAAAACTTTGTCACAGGATCCGAAAGAGGGACACTGGTGGATGCAATTTGGGAACGGCTATGTTTTGGGATACTGGCCGTCTTTTCTCTTCTCATACTTGACGGAAAGTGCATCGATGATTGAATGGGGAGGAGAAGTTGTGAACTCGCAATCAGATGGCCACCACACTTCAACACAAATGGGCAGTGGTAGATTTCCAGAAGAAGGCTTTAGCAAAGCAAGTTACTTCAGGAACATTCAGGTGGTTGATGCGTCAAACAACCTCAAGGCACCTAAAGGACTTGGAACATTCACTGAACAGTCTAACTGTTACGATGTTCAGCCCGGAAACAATGATGATTGGGGTCATTTCTTCTACTATGGAGGTCCTGGTAAAAACCAGAACTGTCCATAAACTAGGCAACAAGTTATGTTAATGTACGGCCTCGTCTCTCGGACTCTCTTTGTCTTGTGAATTCGCCGCTGTTTTTCTTCCTACACAGTTACTCAGTCCACCTTCTCCGGTAGTTTTAGGGATGCTAAAAGTTATGTTATGGTTAGTTTTTGGGGTCTGTTTGGTTTCTTCTTCTTCTCCATGTAAGTAGATGGAGAAGAGAAAGGTGTGGCTTAAGTTTCTTTGAAAACTTAGAAACTTTGGCCCTTAGTGAAATCTTAATTTGTGTACTTTGTACTGTAATTTGTTTAATCCAGTGAATTAAATCTGCCTTTCTCACTCTTATTAAAAAGTTTCACAAAGAAACGTATAAATTACTTATGTCTGAATGAGTGAGTTAATCTCGGTAAACCTACTCTCTAATTCCCTTTTTTGACAATTAGTGATTTTATTTTGTCTTCTCATTACTTTTTGTTGTCAAGATTTGTTTTCACATTTGGAGAGAGAGAGAGAGAGATGGGGTCTAAAAAGGTGATCATGGAGATTAATGAACTGTTTCTTTGGTGAATTATATATCTTCCTTTTCTCCACTTTTTCACAATATAGGTAAAAACAAGATTTCAAAAATGAGCATAAAGAACCTATAATTATACATATACAGCCTGCAAAAATTAATGGAATTATGTATTTGGAATTCACAACATCAATTTTCTTTTAACCTTTTTTAATGCAACAAACACAATACCTTACTTCTTCAAGTTTGATCATAAATTGCAAAAAGTTGATGATATTTTACATTTGCTAAATACGGTCTTTGTTTCTAGGAAATGATATACTTAAATTTATCTTTTCATTATTCCAGATCTGCCTTTTGAAAATCAATACTGGTCTTCTATGTTCAGTAGACTATCTTTGACTTAATCGGCTTAGAATTGGGATTACTGAATTTATGAAAATAAAAAGCATTTAAAATTCCAATTTGTATTATATTATACAGTTGAATGTTTTTAAATTTTGTGACAGAGACATTGGTATTCCACTTCCTTTTTCCTGGTTATGAGCTTTGAGCGTATAACCTGAATATACTTATTTGTAATTGTTTAGTACTTATGTCATATAAAATGTGGGGTTAGGTACTGTATTTTATCATTTAATCAGACTAATCACAATATTCGTTTTTGATGTTAAAATTAACCTGTTGGTTTTGTACGTTCACCATTGTCTGTCTAAATTATAAATTTCTAAATTATTATGTATAATTTTACAGTTACAAATGGATAGGTAAATTAAAGAACATATCTATATTTTTTATATAAAAAAAACAATTAAGAACACACATAAAGTTTGTTTTTACAAATCTTAATATTGCTAAATCAGTATATCTAAAATGCTCAAAATCATTCCATCCTCACTGGCCAATAAACACTCAGTGCGTTAATATCACGTGACATCTCATTGGTACGTGGTTTACACGCGCTTGTAGCGTTTGTTCGGACAGGAACCATAGCTTTAAATTTAATTTTATATTAATTGTTATTTTTCCACGGGCACTTTTCTCTCTCTACACAATACGTCGTTCTTAGAGGAGAGAGAGAGAGAGAAAAAAAGGTTGTAGCTTTTTTTACTTACGGTTCACACACACACATTCGAGGGTAGGGTTTTAATCTTACCTTCTTTCTCTCTATCCATTCCCAAAACCTGAGAAAAATTCTCTGAGATTTATTCAAAAAATTTCAACATTTTTACAAAAAAAGCAAGAATACCCTAAAGGAAGTGAATTTGTGTTTCACAAGCTCTTAAGAGTGAGCGCTAACTTAGTGTCTTGCTTTCTCCTTTGCTTTACAGCTTAATTCTGTGGAATAAAAACCCTAGTGAAGAAAAATACCCCCAAATCTGTTCCCAAGATGTCTCATTTTGCTTGAGGGGCTGAAAGATTTGGGCTTTTAGCGTCCCTTCTGCTTCGATTTCACCGTCATGCCACTGCGTAGTAAGCTCATTTCGGTCAAGTAGGTATGGATCCCGTTGCGAAATTTCGGCTTGATTTTACTGTTGTCGGATGGTTTTGAGCTGCGCATTCGAGCTTTTGGGTGCAAGCTTGAGGCTTTAACTTCCCTGTGATTGAATTTTGATATCCGAGTTGCATGTCGTTGTAGGTGGGAGAAGAAGCCATGGAAGGGGATGAGCGAGGAGTATTGCTAGCTTGTGTAATTTCGGGTACCCTTTTCACGGTTTTCGGTTCGGGTTCGTTTTGGATACTCTGGGCAGTTAATTGGCGGCCATGGCGGCTCTACAGGTAACAAGTCCTCATAATTTGCGCAAACTCTAGGTTTTGTTTTGATATAGGATCCATAAGAGTTACTATTTGTTGAGGCTAGAACCATAAGTTGAGTCAGTGATCTTGGAATGTGTTGTATTTTTGCAGCTGGATCTTTGCTAGGAAATGGCCAAAACTATTGCAAGGTCCTCAGCTTGATGCACTATGTGGTATTCTATCTCTTGTTGCTTGGGTTGTGGTAGTCTCCCCTATTGCAATCTTGATTGCTTGGGGTTGTTGGCTGATTGTTATATTGGATCGAGACATCATTGGACTTGCAATAATAATGGCTGGAACAGCGCTTTTACTGGCATTCTACTCAATCATGCTTTGGTGGAGAACACAGTGGCAAAGCTCAAGTACGTTTACAATCAGCTCTTTTGACTTTCTTTCACAAGATTCTTTTGGCATTTTACATGAAGTAGTTGATGTAGTAACGAGAGCATAGGAGAACATACCGTACTCGTCATAGACTGCTTTAGTCAGTTACTTATCGTGAATGAACTGTTGAACTTGTTTCTTTCTTTCTCCCTTGGCTGAACAGGAGCTGTTGCTTTACTTCTCCTTCTGGGTGTTGCCTTACTCTGTGCGTATGAACTTTGTGCTGTCTATGTTACCGCTGGTGCGCATGCATCTCAGCAATATTCTCCTTCTGGTTTCTTTTTCGGTGTATCAGCAATCGCCCTGGCAATTAACATGCTCTTTATCTGCCGCATGGTCTTTAATGGTAAAGCTTCCCTGATCCTTTACATGGATTCCTAGTTCTTAAATGACATGTGATTGTGGTATAATCAACTTAGTCAGTCTCCTCAATTCGTCACAATAGCACAAAGCTACTCTTGTTAACGTGCGAGAGTTTTTGACTTACAGCCTCAATCTAAGTTGTTATCTTGCTCATCATCACAGGAAACGGGTTAGATGTGGACGAATATGTAAGAAGGGCGTACAAATTTGCTTATTCAGATTGTATAGAGATATGCCCCGTGGCTTGTTTGCCAGAACCGCCTGATCCCAATGAATTATATCCCAGGCAAACCAGCAGGTTAGTTCTTATTGCTCTTTACCATTTTCTGGCATAGCTGGCTCCTTGCTTGATGAGTGATCCTGAAGTGTGCAATCAACAAGCTATTGAATATTGGGAACCAACCGAAGTCTGAATAGGGTTCAGGGAAAGTAACCTTAGTATATTTCGCTACTCTCTAGCTTATGAAATGTTCGCATGCATGTTTTTCTTAATCAGCTGCAATTCATTACCTACCTGTTTTGACCCTTGAAAATAATTTAAACATCTGCTTTTTTTTTTGTTCTTGCATATTTGTAGGGCTTCACATCTCGGCCTCCTGTACCTTGGATCACTCATTGTTCTCCTCGCCTACTCGGTCCTATATGGTCTCACAGCTAGGGAATCACGTTGGCTCGGAGGCATTACATCAGCTGCAGTTATTGTTCTTGGTACAAAGATAATAAATTCTGTCGCATATATTTGGAGCAGAAGTAGGCTATTGGGTTATGTCTAACTCATCCACATGCTTAATATTTTCATGTAGATTGGAATATTGGGGCATGCTTGTATGGGTCTAAGCTTCTCCAAAATCGTGTTCTGGCACTTTTTGTTGCTGGCACATCTCGTATTTTCCTAATAGGCTTTGGCATACACTACTGGTTTGTTTCTGCGCTAAAAACTTGTTACTTATCTATAGATTAAAGTTTGTCCCCTAAAGGCATTTAACTTATTATGTTTCTGATATTGCAGGTACCTAGGGCATTGTATTAGTTACATTTTTGTTGCATCGGTTCTATCAGGTGCTGCTGTTTCCCGTCATCTATCTATAACAGACCCATCAGCTGCTAGAAGAGATGCCTTGCAGAGCACAGTGATCCGCTTGAGAGAAGGTTTCCGAAGAAAAGAGCAGAATAGTTCATCAAGTTCTTCAGATGGTTGTGGCTCAAGTATTAAAAGAAGTAGTAGTATCGACGCAGGTCATGCTGGATGTACTAACGAAGCCAATCGTACGACAGAATCGTGCACGACTGACAATCTAACTCGAACAGGCAGCTCTCAAGAGTGTATTAACAGTGACAAAAGCGTAGAAAGTGGAAGACCAAGCTTAGGTTTACGTAGTAGCTCATGTCGTTCTGTTGTCCAAGAGCCTGAAGCAGGAACTTCTTATTTTCTGGATAAAGTTTCTGATCAGAATAACACTCTGGTCGTATGTTCAAGCAGTGGTCTTGACAGTCAAGGTTATGAGTCTAGCGCATCAAATTCTGCAAACCAGCAGATTTTGGATTTGAATTTGGCTCTTGCTTTTCAGGAACAGTTAAACGATCCTAGGATAGCCTCAATGCTTAAAAAGAAAGCAAAAGAAGGTGATCTTGAACTGACTAATTTGCTGCAAGACAAGGGGCTGGACCCTAACTTTGCTGTGATGTTGAAGGAGAAAAACTTGGATCCAACCATATTGGCATTACTTCAGAGGAGTAGTTTGGATGCAGATAGAGATCACCGCGACAACACCGATATTACCATCATTGACTCAAACAGCGTTGACAATACTCTGCCAAATCAGATTTCTCTTTCGGAAGAATTGAGGCTTCGGGGGCTCGAGAAGTGGCTTAAGCTGTCGAGACTTGTTCTGCACCATCTAGCGGGGACACCAGAGAGAGCATGGGGCCTCTTCAGCCTTGTTTTTATTCTTGAAACAATCATTGTGGCCATTTTTCGTCCGAAGACCATAACAATTATAAATTCTAGTCATCAACAGGTGAGTTCCACTCTCTGATTCAAGTCAGTGGCATTTTTTTGGGTCCGGTTTTGGGCGCAAATTGCTACCCATTTTCCCAAGTTGGTACTTGTGAAATTAGAAGCTTTTTTTGTATCTTTGCTAACTCACTTGTTACCTAATTGTAGTTCGAATTTGGTTTCTCCGTGCTCCTGTTGTCACCTGTTGTCTGTTCAATAATGGCTTTTCTTCGGTCGCTTCAAGTTGAGGAAATGGCATTGACATCAAAATCTCGCAAGGTATTGCTTGTCTCTTTAGTTTGGTATGTTCATTATTACTTGTTGTGGACAATGCAGATATTAAGTGATGATTAAAGTGTTCTAAATAGCATCCGTTTCTATATTTTCAGTACGGCTTTGTTGCCTGGTTGCTGAGCACATCAGTTGGATTATCACTCTCTTTCTTGAGGTACTAGGCATTATGTCTTTTACTGAACTGCTATCAACTTTTCTCACATGGTCTCATTTTGATGTTCTCGTTACAAAAATCGTGCCTGCTTCAATTTTGCAGTAAATCGTCAGTACTTTTGGGAATATCCTTGACCGTGCCTCTCATGGCAGCATGCCTTTCTATTGCTGTTCCCATATGGGTGCATAATGGGTATCAATTTTGGATTCCTCAGTTATCATGTGGGGATCAGGCAAGAGATTCACGATCTCCTAGGATGAAGGTCTGTCTATATTCTCTTACCTAGTGGCTAGTGTCTCTCTTTGTCAAATAAATATTTCTAAATAAAGTTTCTTTTCATTGTAGGGCTTTATTCTTTGGATTTGTGTTGTGGTGTTTGCGGGATCTGTAATTGCTCTTGGTGCAATTATATCTGCTAAACCTTTGGATGATTTGAAGTACAGGGTTTTTAGTGCCAGAAAAAATAACTTCACTTCACCATATACATCTTCTGTGTACCTTGGTTGGGCGATGGCATCTGGAATTGCTTTAGTAGTTACTGCCATTCTGCCAATAGTCTCATGGTTTGCAACATATAGGTTCTCCCACTCTTCTGCTGTCTGTCTTGTGATATTCTCAGGTAATTTGTGTTTCTGTTAGTTTGCTCTGTGTTGTTTGGTTGGGATTTCTTTCTTCTCTAAGTGATCTTTATATGCCTTTTCATCTACTTTCTAGTTGTTCTCGTGGCATTTGTTGGAGCATCATATTCGGAGGTTGTGAAATCTAGAGAGGATCAGTTGCCCACAAAGGGCGATTTTCTTGCGGCCTTGCTTCCACTTGCATGCATTCCGGCGCTACTTTCACTATGCTGTGGGATGGTTAAATGGTGCATTACTGTTTTGTCTCGTTTCCTCTTATACGTTACTCTCAGTTCCAATGAAATAGCCTTTTAAATTGTTTTTTGTGAATGTTCTTTGCAGGAAGGACGATTGTTGGATACTGTCTCGAGGTGTATATGTTTTTGTTTCTATAGGTCTTCTTCTTCTTTTTGGTGCGATAGCAGCTGTGATTATTGTAGTCAAGCCATGGACGGTAAGTGCAAAGTTGCTGACAGAATTCCAATTGTGTTTCAATTGACTGAACTTGATCCATCTGATACTTCTTTTGTGTTTCAATTATAACAGATAGGCGTGTCTTTTCTCTTAGTTCTTCTCCTTATAGTGGTAGCTATTGGGGTTATCCATCTTTGGGCATCAAACAATTTCTATTTAACCAGGAAACAGACATCCTTTGTCTGCTTTCTTGCCTTTCTTTTGGGTTTGGCCGCATTCCTTGTTGGATGGTTTCAAGGTGAGGATTGCCCATCTCTTAATATTAGACTCTTTGTAGAGGTGAGGCCGACCCTACTGATACAGCAATTTCATACATGTTCACTCTGCAGATAAACCATTTGCTGGAGCATCTGTTGGTTATTTTACATTCCTGTTTTTGTTGGCTGGAAGAGCATTAGCTGTGAGTTCATTAATCTTCTTTTACGAGTTTAACAGAACTGTGGACTTTTTTGTTCATGTGTTCAGACGATGTATTAACTATTTTATGTTGTTTCTCTTAGGTTCTTCTATCCCCTCCAATTGTTGTATATTCTCCAAGGGTACTTCCAGTGTATGTCTATGATGCTCATGCGGATTGTGGAAAAAATGTCAGGTATGTTCAGCCACTTGTGTACTCTAAATAGTTAGTTAGTCTTAATCGTTTTCTTTGCTGTTCTTCTGATATGTTTTCTGCTGTTCTGAAATAATGACCGTTTTTGATAAATCTCATATTCTTTTGTGTTGATTGCATTGGGATTTCTTCAGTGCTGCATTTCTCGTCCTATATGGAATTGCATTGGCAACAGAAGGGTGGGGTGTTGTTGCTAGTCTGATAATATATCCTCCGTTTGCTGGTGCTGCTGTATCTGCTATCACCCTTGTAGTAGCCTTTGGGTTTGCGGTTTCTCGTCCGTGTTTGACTCTTGAGGTTAGCGTTCTTCTTGTTTGATGTATCTGTTCCTTGCAATAAAGATTATTGGTTGGTGATTCATTTTCCTCTATTTTTTCTCTCTGTTGTGTACGCCCTTTGCTAATTCCGTCTGATGGTCTCCAGATGATGGAGGTTGCTGTACGTTTTCTTAGCAAGGATACTGTGGTGCAAGCTATCTCTCGATCTGCCACTAAAGTAACATTCTGATGTCTTTCTTAGTGTTCCTCGTGAAAATTTATTTTGATATTCTGTTGATGGCCTTAATTTAGCACATTCACATACAATAATATGTTTTGTTTCTTGTATGCATAATGACAGACAAGGAATGCTTTATCCGGCACGTATTCAGCTCCCCAAAGATCCGCCAGCTCTGCAGCTCTTCTGGTTGGGGACCCCTCTGCTATGCGTGATAAAGCAGGGAACTTTGTGCTTCCTAGAGATGATGTCATGAAATTGAGGGATCGTCTCAAGAATGAAGAACGAGCTGCTGGATCGTTCTTCTACAGAATGAAATGCAGAAAAAGATTCCGTCATGAACCATCTACCAATGTGGATTACAGAAGAGACATGTGTGCCCATGCAAGGGTTTTGGCACTGGAAGAAGCAATTGATACAGAGTGGGTGTACATGTGGGACAAGTTTGGTGGTTATTTATTACTATTGTTAGGTTTGACAGCTAAGGCCGAGAAAGTTCAGGTGAGTCCTGATTCTAAAACTTCATATATTCTTCTCGAATTTTATCTAAGACAAGATTATCACAATATTGTAGGATGAGGTACGCTTGCGACTCTTCTTAGATAGCATTGGGTTCGCTGACTTAAGTGCCAGGAAAATCAGTAAATGGAAGCCAGAGGACAGAAGACAATTTGAAATTATCCAAGAGAGGTACAGGTTTCTTTTAATTAAGCAATGTGGTTTAATAAAGCTGAACACTCGGATATGTTGCTTATCTTTTTTTCTGTGTTGTAAACTTAAGTTATCTGAGAGAGAAAGAGATGGAAGAGGAAATCCTTATGCAAAGACGTGAAGAAGAAGGGAGAGGTAAAGAAAGAAGGAAAGCTCTTTTGGAAAAGGAAGAGCGCAAATGGAAGGAAATTGAAGCTTCCCTTATTCCATCTATTCCCAATGCTGGTAGCAGAGAGGCAGCAGCCATGGCAGCCGCTATACGTGCTGTTGGGGGTGATTCTGTCCTTGAGGATTCCTTTGCAAGAGAGAGAGTCTCGGGTATTGCACGTAGGATACGCACTGCTCAACTAGACCGACGTGCACAACTGGTAAATTTCCTTTTGTATTCCGTAAATGTACTATCTATTGCATCTGATTACTGTGGAATTAACTAAAGTTTTGTATTACCAGACTGGAATTGCGGGGGCAGTTTGTGTTCTTGATGATGAACCAATGATAAGTGGTAGACACTGCGGCCAAATGGACTCAAGTGTCTGTCAAAGTCAGAAGATTAGCTTTTCCATTACAGCAATGATCCAACCCGATTCCGGACCTGTATGTCTTTTTGGCACTGAATATCAAAAGAAAGTATGTTGGGAGATTCTTGTTGCTGGTTCTGAGCAAGGAATTGAGGCTGGCCAAGTTGGGCTTAGGTTGATCACGAAAGGTGAAAGGCAGACAACCGTTGCCAGAGAGTGGTACATTGGTGCAACTAGCATAACTGATGGAAGGTCTGCCTTTTTCCCCCCTCAGTTTCCATTTGTCAGATTTTTATTGCGGGACGTTTGTGATATATATATCTCATGAATCGCCAGTCATATTTATGTTTGCGATTTCCATCTCAGGTGGCATACAGTGACGATCACCATTGACGCTGATGCGGGGGAGGCCACTTGTTACCTAGATGGTGGGTTTGATGGCTACCAGACTGGGTTACCTCTAAGTGTTGGTAGTGCCATTTGGGAACAAGGCGCTGAAGTTTGGTTGGGTGTTAAGCCACCTATAGATGTCGATGCATTCGGCAGATCAGATAGTGACGGAGCTGAGTCAAAGATGCATATAATGGATGTTTTCCTTTGGGGGAAATGCTTAACTGAAGATGAGGCCGCTTCTTTGCATGCAGCCATTGGAATGGCTGACTTAGACATGATTGATTTGTCTGATGACAATTGGCAGTGGACGGATTCACCCCCCAGAGTATGTTTCCTCCTGTTGAATGTTGTCATATTTTTTTCTGATTTGTGGGGGCTACTGTTTAAGCTCGTACTGATTTCGTCGGTTTTCTTTTGTCTTATACCAGGTCGATGGTTGGGATAGTGATCCTGCCGATGTTGATCTCTATGATAGGGATGATGTTGATTGGGATGGACAATACTCCAGCGGGAGGAAAAGAAGATCAGGTCGTGATTTTCTATTAAGTGTCGATTCTTTTGCTAGAAGATACAGGAAACCTCGGGCGGAGACACAAGAAGAAATAAATCAAAGAATGCGTTCGGTTGAGTTGGCTGTCAAGGAAGCTCTCTCTGCACGAGGCGATAAACAATTTACTGACCAGGAGTTTCCTCCAAATGATCGCTCTTTGTTTGTGGATACACAAAACCCCCCTTCAAAATTGCAGGTAGGGATTGTGAATGTTTTCTCCTTTCTTCTGTTATTGGTTGAACATGGTCACTCTTCATGTAAATGTTTATAGACTCGTACTCTCCCTTCAAGTAGACTAAACCTTTTGAGCTTGTCACAATTCAGGTTGTTTCTGAATGGATGAGACCTGATTCCATTGTGAAAGAGAACGGTAGTGATTCCCAACCCTGCTTGTTCTCTGGGGCTGCAAATCCATCAGATGTTTGCCAGGTTTGATCATTTACTTCTTTTTTTTTTTAATATGTGATACCTCCTTGTGATGCACAAAATATCCCATTTTGTTCTTCTTGTACGCACTTGATTCAGAATGGTCCCAGAGATTTATTCGAATGATTGGTTTAACTTGTTTTATAGGGGCGTTTGGGCGATTGTTGGTTTTTAAGCGCTGTTGCAGTTCTGACAGAGGTTTCACGAATATCTGAAGTGATCATCACTCCTGAATACAACGAGGAAGGAATCTACACTGTTCGCTTTTGTATTCAGGTTGTTATCTCGAAAATTTGTTCACTGTGCTAATTTTGTTTCATGATGATAGATCCTTGTAGCTTCCTTTGTGATTTCCGTACAGTCAGAGGTTATAAGTTTAAGTGCTTTGAACTTGCAGGGTGAGTGGGTTCCCGTCGTTATAGATGACTGGATTCCATGTGAATCACCTGGTAAACCAGCCTTTGCTACAAGCAAAAAACTCAACGAACTCTGGGTCTCCATAGTGGAGAAAGCATACGCCAAGCTCCATGGTTCTTATGAGGCACTCGAGGGGGGACTGGTTCAGGACGCTCTTGTTGACCTAACTGGAGGTGCTGGTGAGGAGATTGACTTGAGGAGTGCTCAAGCACAGATTGATCTTGCAAGTGGCAGATTATGGTCTCAACTGTTACGCTTTAAACAAGAGGGTTTTTTACTTGGTGCTGGAAGTCCATCAGGATCTGATGTTCATGTATCTTCCAGTGGCATTGTGCAAGGGCATGCTTACTCCGTTTTGCAGGTATGCCCTGTTGCTTTGGTTGCATATGTGATATGCTGAGTAGGGGAACGCGTTTTAGGTTATTGACTTGCTCTCTCTATGCAGGTGAGAGAGGTCGATGGGCACAGACTTGTTCAGATCCGAAATCCATGGGCCAATGAAGTTGAGTGGAATGGTCCCTGGTCAGACTCTTCCCCAGAGTGGAGTGATAGGATGAAGCACAAGCTGAAGCATGTTCCACAGGTAGTTTCTATTGTACAAACACACTTGGACATAAATATATGTAAATAGGCTCCTTCCATTTAAGTATGTTGCGTACTGATCCTGTGCATTCGGTTTAAACAGTCAAACGAAGGTATATTCTGGATGTCTTGGCAAGACTTCCAGATTCATTTCAGATCGATATATGTTTGTCGGGTATATCCTCGTGACATGCGCTATTCAGTCCATGGCCAGTGGCGAAATTATAGTGCTGGTGGCTGCCAAGATTATAGCTCATGGCATCAAAATCCTCAGTTCCGCCTGAGGGCTACTGGTTCTGATGCATCTTTGCCGATTCATGTTTTCATCACCTTAACTCAGGCATGTGCTACTTTTTGTTTTTCGTTATTATGTGATTCATAGCCTCTGAAAATGTGAATCTCATTCTATCAATGTTTACTCGCAGGGCGTAGGTTTCTCAAGAACAACTCCTGGATTCCGTAACTACCAATCAAGCCATGATTCGCAGTTGTTCTATATTGGAATGAGGATTCTTAAAACTCGTGGGCGTCGTGCTGCTTACAACATATTTCTTCATGAATCTGTTGGTGGAACAGACTATGTGAATTCCCGTGAGATATCATGCGAAATGGTTCTTGATCCTGATCCTAAGGGTTATACTATTGTCCCGACCACTATACACCCAGGGGAAGAAGCACCTTTTGTTCTTTCAGTCTTCACAAAAGCCTCCATTGTCCTTGAAGCTTTGTAGTTCCTTTATAGCTTAGATGGCTCTCTCCTTCCTTTTCCCCAACTGGCATGCCATGAAAATTGTCTTAAGTGCTTGTGTTGTTCAAGGAACCAGACGGCTCATGTCTCAATGTTGAAGACTTGTTTGCCTGCAAGCAACGCAACATTAGAGAAGGTATAGTTCTTAACCTTTCTGCAAGGATTGCTCCATCCTGGTCATATCACTCACTATTCCTCATTCAGACTTAACTCTCTCGTGCAGCATCTGTTCTTTATAGCTGGCCAGTGTCTGATGAACCTTAAGAGGTCTTGGAATGAAATGTTTTAGTAGTTTTCATGATCTGCGTCACGAAGCTAGCGGCTCAGAGGGGTAAATTGCACTGGAGAAAGCACTTTGAAGACAGATTCCGTCTGAATCATGGGTCACGCATCAAATGTACATTTGTAGGTATTGTGTGACAAGTACAGATTTATTAAATGTAGAATAACTACTTCGTAACTGAGAAAACAAGAAGGGAAATAGGGGACTTGTGACTTGTTAGGTAAAGGTTTGGTAATTGGTAGTGGTAGCTGCAGTTTTGGTTGGTGTGTTGTAATATTCAGACACTAATCTGTGTGCAGATTTCGTTTCCACTCTAATATATGAAACTCTCTTTCTTGATCTTTGTTGGAGTTTTCATTGCACCCTTGCTCATCCATTTCTAAATAGAGATTCAAGAACCTCTTCTCATCATGCAGCTCTGTGTACATAAAATCTCAAAATGCAGAACCAACAATAAAAAAAAATAGCTGAGAAAAGAGATTTTGATTAAGAAGACTATAGCCTCGAAAGCAAAACATCAGCAAAAAAATACAGGTGCCTCATAGTTTTGACCTGTAAAGAAGAGAGGCATCTCGGTAATGAAAAGAAACAAAACAGACTCTTGTGCGTTCCTTTCTAGCCTTCACCAAAATCTTGAATATTTCTTAACTCTCTTTTGTTCGACCCTTCTTCACTCTGAATCGCTTTCCATGCTCCCCATTGCCTTCAATCCTCTTGGTCGCTTCATAAAAAAACAAATCACATCATCTTTGCATCCACAAAGTGTTTCTCACTATCTATTGTGGAAAGAGAGAAGAAAGCAAGAAACAACCAGATACCTTCTTTGAAGTCTTCTTCTCTCTTACTTCATACCTCTCTTTGCACAGATCCGATAACCAAGTACCTGGACTCACCAGCTGCGTAAAACATACAATAGCCATGAGGTTTGCATCACCAAAAGAAAAGATTATGAAGAACACAAATGATGAAACCAAGGAAACTCACAAGCAATGTCTTTTGAACCAGTTTGGCTCGTTTCTTGGGTCTTTGAGGAAGCTTGCACCCTTTCATAGTCAAGAAATCTTCTTCCTTCTCTTTATTTGACAAAGTTAAAAACAACTTTGGCCACACATGCTTCTTTGTTTCCTTCACAGTCTCCTTTATAATTTTCCCACTCTCATCTGTACCCATCGAACCCCTCGTTGTGTAGTATCTATCTTCCTTCTCAGGGGATGCCACAAACGATCTCCGCACATTACCTGGAGAATCTATGATCCTATCACCACAGAGACACATAACAATGCTTCAGATCAGAAAAAAAAAGCTGGAAGAATCACACTCCAAGAGAAAGAGAGAACGGGATCAGAACCAGACTTACTTGTTTGGACGGTTAAGATGCCGAGAAGGAGAGCCTCTCTCAGAAGAGACAGCTCGCGAAAGGAGTTTCCGCTTAGTCAAACAATCAGTCGACTTGCCATTTGCAAGGCTCTGATCTTTCTTCACTTTCATGCATCGAACTCTTTTTCTCTCTCCCCATTGCAGCACGAAATCTGCCTCTGTGGTTCCACTTCCTCTTTGTCCCTTCACTTCTTCCATTACACAAATGCTTAACCTTACACAACCCACAAATTCAGACATTAAACATTCCATCCAGAAATAGACAGCGAAAGAATCACAGCAGCACTAAGAAAGCTTCTGCCTTATTATAGATTAAATGCACACAAAAGGTGAAAAACCCCATTTACAATCGTACAAGTTTCTAATTTCTAGCAGCTAAATGAAATAAACCAAAAAAGTCCACAATCTGAACTAATTTGTAGAAACAAAAGCTCACTAACCTCAAGATCTGCAATTTAAACTCAGCGGCTTTAGCTTCCAGAATACTAGAATCACCCTACAAAGCAAGCAATATTCAAACCAGTATTAGAAAACTAATAATGGAGTAAGAATCTATAAATCAAATTAAAACAATAAGAGTGTTAACTGCAGAATCGATTCTTCAATTTTCTATAAACCCAAATCCACCCTTGTATCTTCCCGGCAGACAAATACAGAGACAATAACTTACAGAAATCCAACAAAGAAGAGCAAAATGATAAGAGAACACTTACAAGAGTGAAACTTCATGAAAACTCAATGAAAATTTTTGGTAAAATAGAGAGAGAAACAAAAAAAAAAGAGGGGAAGAAATAAAGTTGTTCCTTTATCTTCTCTCGGAAGATACAGATTGATTCAAACTCCACCAAGAAAGTGTAAGGATTTTCTGGGTTTTTTTTTTTAATTGCTCAAAGAGACCAGAAGATCGAACACTGTCTCTTTTTTTTCTGTGTGTGTGGGTTCTCTCTAGTTTTGAGCTATCTATCTTCTTTAAACACACACACAAGAAATTAAACTGCTTACCCTCTCTGGTCTTTACTGCTGCGACGCTCACCTTTTTTAGCCATTTTTCCTAATTTTTTTATTATACCTTTTTGCCATTTGCTCCTTTTAATTGTCATTTTTATTAATAACAACCGTCGGATACGAAATGGACGGCGAGATGGACTTCTAGAAGTTAAAAAGCCTTAGCCTGTTGTGTTTATTACGAGAAATTTCGTTATGGACAATAACAAATTACATTACGACACGTGTATAATTTTGACGGGAGCACGTTACACCGAGTTTACTGGATAGTAATCTCTTCACTTAAATAAGATTTTGCGTTAAAGACTTAAGACAGTAAAGATTTGGTTCCACGCGCTAATGACAGCTGATTTTGCAGATTAGACCAAAAATCCCCTTTGGACTTTTAGGGCTGTGTAATCCACGCGCAAAAGATACGCGTGGGATTAAGATTAAACCCTTTCAATAGAAAATGATACGTAAACTTGGGCTAAGATGGGCCTTTTCCCCAATATCTCTGGCCTCTAATCGCACTAATAAACATTTTTAACTTTCCTATTTTACGCATTTAGATACTAGCTTCCTCGATACATAATTTTATAAAATTTATCATTTAAGAAAAGAAATGAATTGTTTATTTGAATAATTCGTTTTATCTCTCTTTTCTTAAACAGTTAAAATTCTGGTTATAAAGTTAATCGTGAAGCTAAGTATATAGATGTATAAATATATATTGGGCTGCAAGCCTGCTACCAGGCCCAATGAGTTTCAAATAACGTTTGTATATTAAAAGACTTTTGTAATGCAGAGACAAAGGGAAATTAATAGTGTTAAGCTGAGTGAGTTAAACAGAATTAGAAGCTCAAATACAAAAAGAATACATTTGTTATTTAGCTTAAATAAGATGCATTTGCTTAGATATAAATGTGGTTCTATACATTTATTTCTGAAGTTCCAAACTGCCATGTGTTTTATTTTCTGGTTAGCCACAGTTATGTTTATATTCGTTTCTCTATAGCTTTCTAATAAACACAAACTTTGTAACGGATTTTTGAAAACAAATTGAATCCCACTAACGGAAAAGATTAAACTTTTAGTTTTAAAGATTAACATAAAAATAATATTTGAATCTCACTTTCTCGCTGCGGCCTTGTTTAAATTATTTGCTAATTTTTAACTTCAATTGTTAGTGATAAAAACAAAAAAAGTAAACGAGACAAAACAACTCGTTTATGTAGTTGAAAAATATTTGTAAAAAAATCAAAATAAACGAGACAAAACAACACGTTTTTATCTTTAAAATTCGAGAACGAAAAAAACAGCAAATACCTTGTTGTTATGGCTTCCGGGTCCACCAAAATAATCCAGCCTCCTTAATTGTATGTTTTGGTCAGTTTGATTTTCAACTTTCTTAATATTGTAAGTTTGCTTTGTGTATATAATTACAGCGAATCTGTTATTAATACATTGCAATGATCAAAAGGAGAAAAAATCAAATTAAACAAGCATTAAAAAAACACTAATACCTTTGTTCGTAATGGGGTAGTTGGTCATTTTCATAGTTTGGTGTGAACGTTGTTTCAAATTTTCACTAATTTCAAGGAAACACTAAAACGGCTAATTGACCACCTTTTTTAATGAAATGAAAAAAAAAAAACATTTGAATAACTAAGTGACCGTTTTTTCTTTTATAACAATAACAGCCTTTAGATAGTATTCTAGAAAATAATTCTGCATCAAATATGTTACTAACAGATAATCTCTAACTATTAGAGGAACATAAACTTAAAACTCTGTGAATTTTTCTAGTTGTTAGGATTAAAAGAAGAATACAAAACTGTAATTAAATAGGATGTATGTACATTCTTTTCTTTTGAACTAGCCATGTGAACACACACAAAAATACTTAATTATGATTAAACAAAAGATTAGTGAACACATTTTGAAAAATTATTGTGAGGTTGGAAAGAAAAAAAGGACAGTGGTTGAGAAAAAGAGAAGAATGTGGTTTGGGCCAAGAGACAGCCAATTCGCCAGCTGTAAAATATCCTTCAATTGTTGTATAAATACACAATACCATCCCCACAACTATTATCATCACAACACACCAAAACACCAAAACACCAAAACAAAATCTCTCTTTCTCTTAAATTTTCTTCTTCTTTCATACATCAAAGACAAGCAATGGAGGCAATGAAGATGATGGTTGTTTTCATGATCGTTGCCGTGGCTTTCTCAGCCGTAGGACAAGCGGCAGCTGCCACCGTGGAAGCTCCGGCTCCAAGCCCAACTTCTGATGCTGCTATGTTCGTACCGGCATTGTTTGCATCCGTCGTTGCTTTGGCTTCTGGTCTTCTGTTTTAAGCCAAAACACACTTTTATCATTCTTATTTTTTTTTCTCCATTAATTTTATTGTTTTTGTGTGATTTGATCCTATTGTGATAGAGTGTTGTATTATCCTCAATGTAACCATCTGTTTCTATATGTTTTTTTGTATGTATGTACGTGTATTATCATTCGTCAGACTGTTTATCTTACAACCCGTTCAAAAATCCATGAAAAGCATCACATAACTTGTTACAAAATATCAGATTTCATTGATTTGGGTTCACACAAAGATCATTAAGAGCGATGGAATAATTTGGAATTATCTTCAACGGTAGGTGGAATCAATGATGTGATGAGCTGTATTTGGGAGGTTGTGTGGGGACATTATGATGCCGACATCATCATCATCATGCCTTAAGGCAACATGAGTTTCCATGTGACTCACCCCAGAGAGAACGGTAATGATAACAACCACAATAAATGATAGATATCTCAAGAATGAACCAGACAACCTTAGTTGCATTTATCCATATATGTAGCTCAGAGATAGAAATTAGATTAAGCATTTCCTTAATACATAGCATTCGACTGTGTTAAAGCATTCATAGGGAGCCAAAACAAACCATCCACTCACTAATCTTCCCATTTCTACTCTCATCTAATAGATCCTTACACCGTATATAAAACTAAAGGGTAAAGACTGGGGATGTGGAACGTATCAGACAAGAATCTGTCAAAAGCCATGTGATGCTGCATAGAAGAAAGAATAGGACCATACCATAGCATTTAAGTTCTCATGACCTTTGCCTGGAAATAATAACAAATGTCTTTGTACCTAGCCGCCGCTTATATTGCCCAATTACTAGCTTTCTATTGTGCCCTGATGATAATCACAAGTTCAATGGTTAAAGACAGACACTAATTAAACTCCTTTTATGAAACAAAAATAAAAGTAAAGATAAATAGCTTACCAACATAAGAACCAGGAGCAGCTCCAATAATGTTGAGAGGTCTCTTACAAACACCGGAGGAAGTTGCAATCTGTAGGATGACAAACGGATAGCCGCAAGATGGTCACGAGGAAGACGAAGAGAGACTCGAGAGTCTTGAGAACCGAACCTATTGTCAGAATCTTCAGCTGCACAACTCATAGGATCAATTATGTGACTGATCAAGAAGAAAATCATTATGATCAGCCTCAAAGTAGCCAAAGTTCTACAAGAAAATATGTCTTTCCCTTAGAAACCAATATGAATATCGTGCCAAATTTACAGAGGAATGATAAATAAAGCAAATTACAAAATACAAGGTAAGGGGTAACAAGGAAACTAACCTATGCACCTAAAGTGAAACCAGTAGAGCAAGCCGTAAATGCTATTTTTTTTACAGATTGCATAAACCCCAAATAAAAACCTGGACTACATCTAGCAGATCTACACCATTTCTTCCTACTTCTTTATAACGTATAGCATTGGCGAACTATCCTGAGAAACCTAAGTGACTTTACTACTCAGGAGGTGCAGGATGAAAGTTCTCAGAAACGTTGGTCTGGTCTTCTGATAGCCAACTTTAGTGATCTGTATGCTCCTGCATAGTTTCAAACTCCTGACTTATCTGGTAGCCTGGAGACTTCTTTATCCGCAAAATGAAGCAGGCGTCTCAATCTAAGAACCATATCACAGTGAAATGGCAATGCCGTCCGCCTATCCAGATATGCTGGACTAACAGTCATCCACGATAGAGCATGGAGTTCTGCTGCGACTGACTCAAGGATGAGATGGCTTTCAACCTCAAAATCTCTAGTTTCTTTGGTCCCTCCGCCTTGCTTTGAGATTCCTTGTAGAATTTTGTCATTAGCGTGGTCATAACCACCATAATAGTCTATGAGACTTACAGAGAGAACTGATGGCCATTCTTCCTTCATGTTTATTCTTGAGTCCTTTCTCATGGAAGGCACAGCTTTTGAAACCACAAATCCGGTGGACAATGGGATTGCACAGCCTTTGCTGTGAAGGAGGTGAGCAAGCGGAGGTGATTCGGCAGTTAAGCATGTAGGAAGCTGAAGAGGACTTGGGTGAAGAAAGCGCATGTTGGGTGATGGTATCATCATGTAAGAGAAAGCCGTTGACCCAAGAGACTTGACAGGAGTGAAACCTTCAATGTAATTTACTGAACTCATACCAGTACTGTTCTGGCCACCTCCTGCAAAATTGCGCAAATAACCATGCAAGTCAGAATCTTGCTCCCTTGTCGAAAATTAAAATTGATCACATGGGACATATATATGAGTGAACTGGGGAGAACGATAGAAAACAATTAGAAACTGACCAGGAGATACCAGCTCAGCCGGAAGAACAAAATGTAGAGAGTGATCAAGTGAGATAGAAGCAAAACTGATGCTGTGAACCCACTGAAACAAACCCCTTGGAGTACCAGAAATTGTTTGCCCACCCATAATCTGCTTTCTTCCAGCAGATTGCCCCATGCTGCCTTTCACAAAGGTGGATGGTTTTGCATGAGAGCTGTAGAGTGTGCTAGTTGACGAGGCTCTCTCTTGAATCAAACTCAGATCCTGCTGTTGCAATGAAGTTCCGTTGCTATTGGTGGCTATGCCAGAAGGCGCAGAACGTCGAAGTTGAATAGGCCACTTCTTAATCTCAGGACCTCCAGCTGAGTAAATTGCCTTTTGCCACTCTGTTATGTCAGTTGCAAGTAGACAAAAATACCAGGGTTATGAAACAAGCAATACTAGAGCATTCATTTGGCATAAGAACGGGATGAAATCTCAGATCAAGAACAGGATGTAAGGGCAAACGAATATAAATTTACCTAGGTATTCAAGCTCAAAGAAATTCCCAATGCGTGTAATGACAAAATCCCTGGGTTTGAAAGATCCATTGTCAAGGGAGGAACATGCCTGTAGTATTTGACATCCCTGCTGCAGAACTTGAACAAAAAGACACTGAAGCCCTTTCGTATCCTGCCTACTGCTAATTCCACCAAAGGGAAATATATGGGTGTCGAGCAATTCACCCCTAGCATCAGTCCAGATGCTTACAAGCCATCTCCAGTCCTCTGTCCAACCGTAGCAACAATGTAAACTCGGACTAGCCTTTCCTTCAAGCTGGGATGCATCCCCGTGGGAGCTTGATGCCGATGTTATGCCTTCCATTGAATTCACGCCAGGTCCAGAACCTCTGCCGCCATCCTCAGGTATTGGCTTTGAAGACTCGGATCCCAAGCCGCCGAAAGTCGGTGAAACTCCACGCTCCACGGAACCAGGCTCAGACAGAATGAAAAGCGGTTCAAACAGATAGAAAATTTCATCATTAATGTAAAAATCTCCATTTCTGTTTGGGTCGCAGCTTAATCCTCCAGATCTTGGCCAGGAGCTTTCCCAACCACCACTTTCACCATCTCTAGAACCTGTCATTCGAGAACCACCGCAGTCTTTCCACACTCCCGAAATAGAGCTCATTTGCGTCAAGGCTGAAGATGATCTGCTTGATAAAGATGAAGAGAGAAATCCATCATTGGGCATTCCTCGTGAAATCCTCCGAGCTTTATTGTATACAGAAAAAGCAGTATCCTTGAGGATGACAAGCTCATTGAAGCTTGGACTTGTTATCCGGAAGATAGAATCAACAGACACCACTTGTAGGACTAGTTTAGGGACACTAAACCCCGAAAGCACTGGAATGTGAGATATTGATGCTTCGTCTACAGCAGCAGAGCTACCAAACGCCCTAGCAACCTGACTGTTAAGCATCGACCTCCTGTCTCTGTCTGGCTGTATTCCTGATCCAAGTGCAATAGACGATTCGACGATTGTCCTTAAAACTGCCGAAGGGTCGGGAAATGGACACACTATGTACACTACCTGAAAGAAAAGTAGAAGCCAACAAGTATCAACAGCTACACTTGATAGAAATGGACAGAGAAATACATATTTCAGTTAACATATGTATTTTCCAACTCACACACTCTTACCATGCAAGGACTAACTGATCCTTCTTTCTGGTTTGTGTAAAGGGAAGACCCAAGCTTTAAACCTTTCAGCGCTTTTGATAAGGACTTCAGATAGCTACTCACATTCCACCCATTCGACAAAGACAGAAAATAATCACTAAGAGATCCCAGAAGCGATGTGTTATTGCTTTCAATCTTCATTGATTGAGGGCAATCAAGCAGAACAAATCCAGATGAGGATAATCTTCCAGCGTCAGTTTCCATTTGATTTCCCAGGATCTGAGGCAAATGGGTTCCCAGCCTGCACGTCTCATAAACTATGCAACAAAAAGCCATCAGAACACAATAATGAGAAGAAATTTTGTTCCTCTAGAACCGTATTTTAACACAACCCAGATCCTGTCATGTTTGAGTATAACCTCTTTCACAATTGATAAAGAAGTTGACTCACCAGTTCCAAGTTGCTGGAAGAAATCAGCAGCAGCACAGGTTAAAGGATCTATATCCGGACATACAACAGTATAGTTAATCTGCGAAAGGTAACAAAGAACAACCACAGGTATATTAGTGGAGAAGATTATCAATTGGCCTTAAATTGCAGGAAAACAAAAGCATATTTCTCAGACGAGTTCCTTAAAAAACTCACATTTTTCGGCAGAGCATATGGCTCAAAGGGGGCCTTTTCCCAATGAGGCAAGGAGTTGGTTGATATCTTAAGCCAGTCATCTTGATACCTGTCACAGGGGAAGGATGCATACTCTAAATTACCAGCAAATATAATGTAGCAAAAATTCTTGAAATCATGAATACTTCAGGAAATAACTCGATCACATAGGCATCTTGTTCAAGACCATTTTCCTGACTGCTAATAGAACAGACATCTGCATACATACCCGACAAGTATAGAAGGTAATGGAAGAACAAAAAGTGTTGGTCGGAGTAATTCTGAGCTGTATATGTCTTGGCTCTGAGCAGTTTCCTCTCTTTTCCCACCATCTATTGCATTTGACACTGCTTGTTTGCCAACATATTTATTAATAATAGAATCATCAGAGATATTGACACG